TTATATGTTATATGTTATATGTTATATGTTATATGTTATATGTTATATGTTATATGTTATATGTTATATGTTATATGTTATATGTTATATGTCATAGGTCCTCTCTGTTAGGGTATACACTGGTAACACACAAAACAACTGCGTACTCTTTGTTGATGCACAGCATAATTAAAAGCCTCGCCCTGGCCCTGTGTCTGGGCTATAAAAAAATACAGTCCAGTAAAAAGTGCAGGCAAATATTTTAATGCAATCAGCCGGCCGCAAATGGAATTTATGGCAGATATAATTTATTTTTGGTTTAGTGTACAAATAATAAAATATCTACACCTATATGTATGAAGGTATATAGATGTACATATATATTTATGGTCAAAGGGAGAGTTTAATCGCACTTGGAAATGGCTAGGCTAGATGGGTTTAATGGATTGTAAGAGCAATATTTTGCATATCAGTAAACGAATATTGTTTGGACTTGTACTAAAAGTAGAAGGGAAAACTATTATTCTAATATAACTTCTTTCTAAAGCTTATCCAAACGTGCCTGTATTATATAGTTGTTGAGCCCTTCAGCTTACGCCTGCCTACATAAAGATTACCATTAAGGTAATTCGCATAAGGCGCCACCTCACACACACACACACACACACAAACACAGAAACATCCATTAAACTGTTTTACCTGGGAGCACAAAGAGGCAGAGAAGGAAGAGAACTAAGTAAAAGGAAACTTGGCAAGCAATTCAGCGACGATTATTTTTGATTGTGGTACGAGCCGTGTGGATCTCTTTTAAGAGGGAACCTGAGGAGGAGCAACCACTACAAAACGAAGGCCATTATATTTAGGCACTAATTGAAGCAATTTGAGAAAACACCTCGACAAGACAGCAGCAGCACCACCAGCAACAGCTCCACTTTGGGGCGGAGCAGGACACGGAATCAATAAGCAGTCCAAAGCAGCCAGCAACATCATTAAACTCATTTGGTTTGTTCTCGTTCTCATTGTTGTTCTTGTTGTTCGCGATGTTCGGGTTGTTGTTGGTTCGAGCTTTTGGCAAATCATATGCCAGTCACATAGCCAGCGACGTGTTATGATACACCACAAAGACGGAGCCACAAAGTCAACCACAAAGGCTGTCAGGCAGGCGCTTGAGTCTTTCTACCAGCCAACCAAGCAACGAGCAACGAACAACGAACATCCAACCAACCAGCCAGCCAGTCAGTGCGTCAGTGAAGCAGAATCGATTTAATTTGTTGTTGCAACCAGAGTCCCAACTCGCTGCGTCCCTCTCGCTCTGCCTCTTCCGCTCTCTCCCTCCCTTCCTCTTCAAAGGCGTCGATTAAAGAAATATGCGCCCCCGGTACGGCTCCGCTCGATTCGGTTTATTTCGTCTTGATTGCGCTGACGTGAGCGAAAAAGTCAAGCGCAAAGCTGTGTATGGACGAGGGCCAGACTGATGTAAAAAAAAACAGCGAATCTCCAGCACGTCGAAGAGTTTATACACTTTATGAGTAGATTGATCCTAAGAGAGTTTGGCTGTCATATATGTCGGGCACATTACATAGCAGCCATAGCAATAAGCAGATATATTTTTATATAGCTAGAGTATTATTGAGCCATCCCTTTCTGGACATATATGTATGTGTATAAACACTGTTACGTTACGTAGTTCGTAAGAAATCTGTAATACCCTCTGGAGGCCTATAGAAATATGTTGATGCGGCAGGCTGGACATAGTCCAAGCAGCGGGACCCCAGCTCCAGCCTCGGCTACAGCTCGCATCCCCTTCCATGGCTATCTGTCCGTCTATCAGATGGTCAGCCTGACTGCGTGTGCGTGATAATTAGTTCGTTTGTTTGCGCTACATTCGAGTGGTCGAGTTCCGTAATGGCCCAATACCGAAATCAGACAGTCGGCGACCAACTGCTGGGGCACAGCAAATTGTGTGGGGCAACATTTGTCGATTAAGCGCAATGAATGCGAAAATATCGCCGTAATAATCAGGAGTCCGAAACAGAGATCTATCTATCTGTGGCACAGTCAGCACTTGAATTAGACTCTGGCTAGGCTGCTGCTTGTTATTGTTATCGAGAGCAACAACAACAAGAGAGACAGACTGGCAGACAGACGCCATGGGTGGCGTTTGATTTACTTGGCAGACTAAAGCAGAGGGAGACGAAGAAGGAGAAGGGGACATCGGTGGGCATGGGGAATGTGAAGGAGACAACAGCCAAAGGAAAAACTCAGCTGTCAGTCAAGAATTTCTGGCATTTCTAGAGTCAGCATTGGGAAACCTTTTGGAAAACTGCAAGTCAACATGGGAAAGGCATTCAAACAACGAAGCAGTCAACCTGAAGCAGTCAACCTGAAGGAGACACAGTGATAGCGATAGAGAGAGAGAGAGAGAGAGAGAGAGAGAGAGAGAGAGAGAGAGAGAGAGAGAGAGGGCAAACTGTGAATGAAAGCTCGAAATGAATGTGCATGACAATTACACGTCAAAAGTTTGATGTAGGACTTGCAACAAGGCGAAACAGCAACAAAAGCAGCGACGAATCAAAGTAAACAGCAATGAAATGCCATAATATATAGTAAAACAGAAAAATCAACAAAAAGACAAAATAACAAAGTAAAAGGATGTCCATTTGTCCGCTGCTTGTTTAGTAACTCTAGTCACTTCAATGACGTGACCTTTCATACCCTGTTATTGTTGTACAGAAGTGTAACAAAAGTGCTTGAAATTGGGGAAGATGGAGAGAGAGAGAGAGAGAGAGACAGAGAGAGAGAGAGACAGAGAGACCGAGAGACCGAGAGAGAGAGAGAGAAAGAGAGAGCGAGAGAAAGAGAGAGCGAGAGAAAAAGAGAGCGAGAGAAAGAGAGAGAGAGTGAGGGACAGAGCTTTCATAGCTATAGCCTATAGAGCTGGTAAAATGTAGTATATCAAATATATATACATATGTATGTAGCTGATGTATACATCTTTCAAAATATGTATATAGAAATTTACGCATGTTTAAGAGTCTATATATCCATTATATTTATATTAATTTCATTTATGCAATCTTTAAACATAGATATACCATATAATACCATATTATAGATGATATTTTATATAGTGTAGATATCATATTTCTATTCAAATAAAATTAAAGAAAATAAATATATTTTTTAAGACTGTTTACACAAAGAACTTTTGAGCTCTACATATAAAAACATGAAAGATTTTGCATTTTGAATACTTTTTTAAATTTTCGGAAGAATGCTTCGACTGCAACAATGACTATCTAAGAAATTGATTGACTGACTGACTGATTTAAATCAGATATAGTCAGATATAAGTGTTCGCTCGCAATTATAGTTTACAGTGATGACTTTTGAACTAAGTTGATAACAATTTGGTCAACCATTTAGGTGAATTTTTTATGGCGAAGGTCATGCAAATTGATGTAGCATGTTCGCTAAGAAGTGAAAATTTAGTAGAGTTAATGCCATGAATGTGTAATGTCAAAATAATATGTATATGTATATAACACTTCTAATATACTTTAAAAAAAAACTGTAAATTATTATGGTACTAAATACTAAATATCATATTATACATACATCATATTATATTAATTTTAATAATCTTACGAATTCCTAGGGAATTTTTCGCAATTTCATTTTTATTCAATATATTAATTTTAATTAAAATATGCAATGCCAAACACATTTCGCACTTCTTCGCTTGCAGCTGCTGTTCGCATTCAGTAATCCAGAAGTTGAGCCCGAAATCATATGTGCGAGCATACGAATACATACATACATATGCATGTATACATACATATATCATCTTCTCGCGGGCTCCAGCAACTCGTTGAATAATGTGAAGTGGTTTCAACGAGTCTCTGGCCCATCTAATCCGAACACACTGCGAAACAATGCTCGATGTGAGTGAGTGAGGGACCCTAGAGATTTGCAATACACGTCTAATTCATGCAATTATGAGTGCTCGACATGAACTTAAAGTTTGCCATTGGTCCTAAAAAAAAAAGGGGGCAAGTTGTGTGGTGGCTGCATATTCATATAGTAGTTGCTGCCTCTCATGTCAGCTGCCAGGCCAGAAGATCTCTCTGACTCTCTGTGTGGTGTGTGTGTGTGTGTGTGTGTGTGTGTGTGTGTGTGTGGGTTGGCCGGCTTGGTAGGGCATGGCAGGGCATGGCATGGCATGTTGCATGCAGCATTTTGCATGCTTGAATAACAAATTATGAGTGCCACACAAAGACTCGCACAGCAAGAGGATAGAGAGTGTGTGTGTGTGAGAGAGAGAGAGAGAGAGAGAGTGGGAGAGAGAGCGAGCAAGACTGCCTTATTATTTGCCATACAAATAATGGACGTTGAGCGTTGCACAGATTTGAAATATGCACCATGCCACAGGCAATGAATGCGACGTCGACTGCGACGGCAACGGCGACGGCGACGACGATTCTGTTCCCAGCTCGAGTTCTGGCTCCGGTTGCCTTTTGTCTGCGGCTGTTTGCCTTTGTGCTACTTAACAGTCAGCAGTTTTAAGCGTGTCCTGTCAAACACAAAACATAAAATACACACACCGACACGCACACGCACACAATCATATTTTTACACACAGACACACACACACACACACACATAATGTGCTTGTAGTTTTGCATAATTGTGCTCTACGAAATCTCAATTCCTCAAGCGTCAAATGCATTTGATTAGCTGAATTTTCGGCGTCGCTTGCCGCACTTCAAGTGCCAATGGCGATCCTTTTTGTCTGTCTGCCTGGCAGGTCCTGCCTCTCTGTCTCTTATGCTGTCTAGCCCTCTCCCTCTATCTCTCCGTCTTCTCCTGTCTTTTGTTATGTTCTTGGCATTGTTTGCATTGCTTGTTCTTTGCCTAACGACTTTATTTTGAACTTGGCCGGCATATCCTTGCAGTTCCGCTCATCATCTTCCACAGTGCCGTCCCTTTGGCTAGGCACATGCACAGGCCCAGGACCCTACGCTCTGCTCTAGCTCGGTCGCTAGTGCCGGCTGCCTGTTAATTGACTCATTTTGCGCGCCGTTTGCTTTCAGATTCAATTGCTGCGGTCGCTGTCGGCTTCTGGGCTCACATCTCGCTTCAGTTTCGTAATTCGAGCTCAATGTGGTTGGGTTGGGTTGGGTTTGGTTTGGTTTCTTTGAGGAAGCCAGACCATTGGAACTGCACAGAATTTGCACAATGAGCCCTGAGCGCTGAGCACCTACAACTTGGCTTAAGAATGGAAATGGAGTCGACTTATTACGCTAGCCGACTTTCTATGGCAGCCAGCTTACCTTGCACAGTCTAGTTAGGCATTGTACAGGTAAGCCAAAGGCGAACCCGAGCGTTCCATTTTACATTTTTATGCTTGGTTAAAAAAGCAATTCAAGTGGGTTTTTTTTCATTCTATTGAATTTTAAATGCAGTGTTATGTAACAGTGGTATATATGTATGTATGTGTAAGTAAATATTTATTTATGTATTACACAAAATATATATTTATGAAATCAAAGAAGTTTAAGTTGCATAGTTTTGGTAGAGAAATTTACAACTCTCTGTTTAAGCAATTAAAATTCTTATGATATAGAAGTAATATATATCATATAACATGATATTCCTTTTATCAAGCACTTTAGTGAGTTTTTGTGTTTAAATGAACATGGGACAGGATTTACTATAGGAGAGAAATATTTATAGCGAAATGTTATAGAAGCCTTTGTTATTTTCGTATTAGCGCAGGTTTTGTTATTGTCTAAATCAAAGGTTTCAGTTGTTATTTACCTTTATGTTAATATCTTTTTCGTTATCTAACTTGAGAAGTCTTTTATACAATATATATTATACGCATATGTTTTACTATTAAATGAGATGATTTCTATATAATTAAACATTTTTTACATCATTTTTGAAAAATGAGAATGTGCTACATTATTTGGTTAAAGAGTTTTTTTTTTTTTTTAATGTGAATTAAGGTTCTTTATATACATATACATATACATATAAAAATAACTTTTCTTAACTTTGTATGTCCTATTTAATCCTATTTAAATGGGAAATCAAAATCTATTGTTTTTATATATGTATATATATTTAATCTTTTTTTATAATTATTATTTTTGTTCATAATTATTATTAATACAAATATATAAGTATTTAGACAAATTTTCTTTTTTTTATACATGTTTTTTTAGTTTATACTTTTTTCTCCAATTTATATATTTTTTTAAATAATATTTTATAGTAAATCCATATTTATTTCATACATTATGTACATTTTTTATATTATTCATAAACCATTTTTATTTCCCTAATCAGCTGTAACTTTATTTCTGCATCCGGTAATTTTGATAATTGTCGTTTAATAAAGTCATTTATTTTCCTCCTAATTGCCAGCATCGCAACAGCGCTCCCCTTCAATTACTTTTCAATTGACTATAGATATTAAGTCAACTCGACTCACGTCAATTCATGTCAACTGCTTCAGTCAAAAGGACAATTGGAGCAAATGCTCTCTATCGCTTATCCCATTTAGCCATAAATATTTACTTAACATTATTCAATTCAGTTTTGCCTTTCGTATTTTTTTTCTCCCTGTTTTTCGGTCTTGAATGGCACTTACCGAGCAGAGTGAATGCCAGACTGAGCATCAACAACATATTCATATCCATGATGATGGGCATCCTCAGTCAATTCGACGTCGCTGTGGAGTGTCTGAGAGTGTCTTCGCTTTCAGAGCTCTCTGAGCGAGCCAATTAGCAAACTATATGATGATAACACGACACTCACACAATTACACAAGCGCACACAGATACACAGATACACGATTGTGAATATTATGTGCTGACAAACTGATGATATATTCAAACTCGAAGTTTTGTATATGTATTTCTGTAGTATATGTATATCGCTATATACGCTCGTAAGTGCAGCCACTCGAAAATGCACTCCACTCAACGCAATGCATGTGTAAATATTCAATATTTGGTTGCCGGCCCAGACGGACGAGGATGATGACGACGACGACGACGACGACCGCGACGGTGACGACGACGGCGAGGAGAAACGATAAAACGACGACAGCGATTCCAACTGATGACTGGTGACTGCCTTTTTTAACGCTTTGCTTTGTATCTGATGGCGGGGAGGGCTTGATATTTACTATAGACACTCAAATTAAATTGGTATTTACATAGTTGGAACGCATGAAATGCATTTATCACTGAACACGGCGACCAAAAGCAACAAAGATACGCACACGACTCACGGCACTTGCTTTTTTTTATAAGCGATTGTTATTCTTGTTGTTGGTTTGGTTTATGTTTCGTGGTTTTGTTTTTTTTTGTGTTTTTTTATTTTTTATCAGCGCCTAGATTGACAAGCGACAAGCAGCCAAGATACTCGTTGCCCGCTGCTGCCTTAGCTGCTGCTGCTTCAGCTGCTGTCGTCAAATTGTAATGGCAGCGACACCGGCACCGACAAAGGTATCTAGATACACAAAATGCAGTGCCGAAGACGGGGCCGCAGATTGCTCATGGAATGGGTTGCAGTTCAATTGCCCAGGCCAGGCCACGGCTGGCATTCAGGCTGGCGGCAGGCAGCTTAAAGCCGAACCGAAAACAACGTAAACGAAGCGCACACAAGGCGAGCGCAACAAATCAACTTAATTTGTATCCCAAAGATACAAAATATTCAATGCATTGCATCCTTGACGTGCCTGCGCAACCGAACCGGCTTTATATTCCTCTGCTATTTGTGGGTGCTTTGCCTCAGCTTCTACTGCTGCCTGCTTCCACTTTTATTTTTATTTTATTTTGTGTATTTCTGTCGAGCTGCGAGGGGTGCAGCTGGCAGAGCCAAATACGTAGCGACCAGTCGCAGATACACGAAATACGAATTTCAGGAGAACCGCGTGCGTTCGACGTCTGTTTATTACTGAAGACAAACGGCAGTTGGAGTTGTTTGTGGAACCGGCTTTTTACGTTGCCTGCCAAATACTGGGAATGCCTGCAACGTTCTACCTTTACGCCTGACTGGCTGTCTATCTCTCTGCTTGTAACTCGACGTGTGGCCAGTATTTTTCTTGTAAGTGTTGCCGTGCGACCGCTGAGAAATACTGGGCGGCTGTGCTTGGCGCGTAAGCGAGTCGCTTTTGAAATCGGGAATGGAAATATGGACTATAATCATATATTGTAAGTTGCAGTGCTTATTATTTATGTAAATATGTAAAAGTTTGCATTAATTATGGGAATTATAAAAATATATAATTTAGCCGACATTCTTTATTAACTTACTAAATTGCGTATATAGAACTATTCTTCGAATTATGTTTTTTTACTGATTAAAATTATATTATAATTCATTTTATTACCCTGTCTTAAGATGATTCTTAATGTATGCCACATTATAGTTTTAATATTATATTAATATCCTCCATACCATCTCTCTTTAATTATAATATTCACATATTCACATATTCATTAGCTCAACTGCAGTTACTTGAATTATATTCAAGTTTTTAGCCACTTGATTGCCTGATTAAGTCGGCTTTCAAATCAGTGGCAAACGCTAATCGCTTTCGATCCACGCAGACAATGCCAAATGAAGTTATCAACACTCATTGATTATAATCAGCTTCTGCTTCGGCAATAATGCGCCTTAATGGCTACGGGCACGAGTTGACGATGATTACAATGTATTTTGTAGCCTGGAATCGCACAGACCACAGGCTGGGCGGGTCTTATTAGGTGGGTTGCTGCGTTTACGACCGGCTGCACCGCTGGAGCGCTGCAAGAAGCTTCCGACTAAGACACAAAACGGCTCTGTTGACTACTGTGCGTGGTCCGACCGATTAAATGTAACACTGCGAGTGTGTGTGTGTGTGTGCGTGTGTGTCTATGTGTTTTTCATTTTATAGTTTTCCGCTTTTTTTTACGATGCTTTTCAACCCCCAAATGAGCGAACCCAAAACAATTGCAACAGATCCTTTCGACGCGCCGCCTGACTGACACCCAAAAGTCATAAAATGCCTTCGCCATTTGTATATACATACACATATACTTGTGTGTGTGAGTGTTATAGTAGTAGTGAGAAGGGTGGTCTTCCTGATTAACAACGGCACAGCCCTGGGACTGCGGTTATCAAACGCCATCCAAAAATGTTGGGCCCGTCAATGCGCTTTGCCATTCCTATGCCCAGCGACAGTTATTGATGTCATAAAGTTGGAGATTTATGTCTGTCTACCCATTTGGGTTTGTATATTTCATTGTTTGAGTGAGCAAGCAGGATCGTCCCAGAACTGGCAAATGTAGTGTTAATAATATGTAAAGAAATTAAAATCTACAGATTGAACGTTTACTTTAGTTACTTTAGTTAGTAAGTTATATAAGAAGGATGATAGGTTCTCCCGTTTGTCAATCATTCAAATGGCCAGTCAACTGAATTACGAATTACAATAATAGTTAGTTTACTTATGAAAGAGCTAGTATAAGACAAGATTTATCAACGATCGATCGATCCGTCAGTTTGTCAATCATTCAATCATTCATTCTGGACAAATAGTACTCTCTTAATATAGGGCTTATGATTCACTAGCATAAAGCGCTTACTATCTAAAATAAATTGTGAAGTATTGACGGCTGAGCATATTTTAGCACTTGATATATAACGTTGCTTACCTTTTTACTCAGCGGCTCGTATAATTTTACTGCTATGTATGTGTGTATAGTACATACATTTATATATACAATATACATACTATATCGGCATTGTCTGCAGACATCAAACATTTAAAGGCATTAAAATAACTTTTAGTAATGCGGCCTTTGCGTAGACTAAACAAAATAAACATTTCCAACAACTTTGGAGGTGTTTTGCTGCATTCTCTCTGTGCACTCGCCCCATAAACAAATGAGGCGAAAAAGTATCCAAAAAAAAAAAAAAAAAACACACACACACAACCAACAACAAAAAAGTCAAGAGAGTAGGAAAAACAAAAAAGGGAAATACGGAAGGGCAGAGGCCCCAGCAACGGGTTTTAATGCATGTCGATGTCGTCGCCAGCGCCGCCGCAGATCAAAGGCAGCCAATGGAGTAACCATGCGATGGAGGGGCGGCCGTGGGGGTGGGGGGCTAGGTTTTGGGTCGTTTAATTGCACTTGCCGCTTTTTATCTGTGTGAATGTGTTGGTGCTGGTGGTGCTGCCAGTGCCTCAGCCGGTTGTCAGCCTGCGCATGTGTAGTTGCCTTTGATGTGCCTGGACTATGGACTGCGGAGCTGGGAGCCAAGAGCTGAGAGCTGAGAGCTGGGAGCTGGGAGCTGGGGCTATGGGCGCATTTGTTTATGCGCATGCTATAAAAAACCATAAAATATGCATAAAACGCATAGGCAAAAAGGCAACTGCGATTGAAGTTGAACAGCAGGCAAACTAGATGAAAATGAACATGGAAATGGAAATGGGAATGGAAAAGCAAATGGAAATCGAACTGAAATGAAATGAAGCGATTAAGTGCAGACGCTGGCAATTCCTGGATAATTTCGTCGCAATGCCACAATCAAAGAATTCTGTGCGCAGTGGACCAAGTCGCGATACGAGCATTTCCTGTGCTTAAATAGAACAAAGAGTTAATTTAGAAAAATAGAAAATAACAATATATATAATTTTCATATTAATTTATTGTTCATCTATTTAATATTCATTTCATTTAAATTATTTAATAATAAAATCAAATATTGTTTAATTTTTTTAAATATTAATACAACATAATATTTTATAAAAATTTAATTTATATATAACGAATGCATCTTAGCAGTTTGGAGAGTAAAAAAAAAAACAAAATTCGCCAATTAAATTAAAGTGGACAGCTGTTTGGGACTTTACAAAGTCGATTAAATTAATGTTGGAGCATGAACGGGTATTATGGAATCGGTGGCACCCAAATGTTATACTTTTTAATTATAATAAGTAATGATTTTATTATAATTTAACATGTCTGTTAAATTTTATAATTTATAATATCAAAAAATTATTAAAACTCTTCACTCATTAAATTGTTAATATTTATTTCAAAAATTCATGAAGCTCGCATATTTAAAAACACAAACAAACCAAATTTACCGACTCAATAATTGATTTTGATTATGATATTTCATTTTTGAAACTTCTTTACTTATTAATTTTCACATTTTATCTCGAACTTGAGCTATTAAATTCATTTTTGCAGCATACAGAAAATAAATTACACCATTTCATCAACTGATTTTTCATGTTATATTAATATTGGCAGTCACTTGCGAGCATTCGTTACGTTCTCAAAGTAATTCTTCGGCAATCTGAAAATTTAAGTTCATCAATGTGGGATTCGCCATCTCCGACTCTGCGCAGAAGAATGTTATTGCTCGGTTTCTTTTATGGCATTTTCATTTGTGAGCTTATGGAATTTGTGCTGGGTGTGGAGCAGGGGATGGGGAAATGGGAAAATGTAGGGTGGGAGGAAGGTAATGGGCTGGGGTGCGGAGTTGTCTTTCACTCGTCACTTGGCACATTTCATTGCTTTGCCGGCTGCAGTGCCCATAAAAAGTACATAAAAAACTGTTGAGCATTGACACCGAGCACCGAGCACTGAGCACCGAGCTCTGCTGCTGATGCGTGTGCTTTATGGAGACGCCAAACGCCCAAGTGGGCAGCGAATGTACGGCCGTAAAATGATGATGGAAGAAACGCTTTGAGCATTTTACGATGGAGCTCGCGCAGCTAAATGAGTGGAATTTTCGGTTGCACTATAAAATCGGGCTCTATGAGAGCTATAAAATATTTATTTTCTAATAAAAAATAACTGTACATGAATATATACAAAGATACACACAGATATAAATATTAATATAGGCGTCTATATATATATAAATATTAGATATATAAATACAAATAGATTTCGATTTAGGCAAATGGGGGAACGGGGCTTTACACATTCAACAAACAATGGGGATTAACATATTATGGAGTGGCCGGAGACCAGCCTAGAGATCATTGAAACATGACAACAGGACACCCAATCTATCCTAGACTATATCGTCGGCCACCTGCGACTCCTGCTCGAGTATGGTGCTCTCGCGCAGTTTGCTCTTTAGGTTCTTGCTGGAGTTCGCATCGGTCAGGCAGGGCTCGTGCTCGGCATGCTCATGGCCCTCGCCATCGGCCGCCACATGGGCGCCATCATCCAGCTGCACCTTGCCCATGTGACGGCGATAGCGATACCAAAGCTTCAGGCCCAGCACCAGCACGAAGTAGAGGAACGCCAGGCAAATTATCACAATTATGATGCGGGTCACAATGGAATTGGATGCCGACTTACTGCTCCTGACCACCAGCAGTGCATCCTCGCGCTTGAAGCCCGCACTGCTGCCAATCGTGCAGCCATACCGGCCCTCGTCCTCCGGCTGCACATCGTGTATCTCCAGAGTGCCATTGTCGAGCAGGCGAAAGCGCAGCGGATCCGTGTTGTTCTCGTTGAGGTATGCCAAGTCCTTGTCCCACTGTATCGTTGGCCTCGGTTCACCCGTCGCCTGGCAGTGCATGACAGCAACATCGCCCTCGCTCACCTCAATCGAGCCCGCAGGCGGCACGGTGAACTTGGGCGCCACCACCACGTTGATGGAGACGGTGGCATTTATCTGGCCCTGACTGTTCGAGGCGAAGCAAGTGTATTGGCCACGCTGCTCATTGGAGACGCCGCGAAAGATCAACGTGCCATTCTGATCCGTCACATTGGCCGGCAAGGGCAATTGGGTTTCCTGGGATAAGTGAAGTTGAATTGTAGGCGGTTTAGATCGGAATCTGAGGAGATTTGTGCCGTAGACTTACCCGCATCCATTTGACTTGGGGCGCGGGTCGGCCCTGCGCCTTACAGTGTACCTTGCTGGTGCTGCCCAACTCCAGATTCTTTGACGTCGGCTGCGGCATGAACTTCAGCAGCTCAATCACCTCCAGAGTGCCGCTGCCCGAGGTGACCGCCGACTGGCCCTCAACAAGCAATTGACATTGATAGACGCCCGCATCGCTGGCCAAAACGCTCGCAAAGTGCAGCGAGCCGGTCTCCTTGTTGAGCGTGAGACGGGCATCTTCCCGCAGCAATGTCTCCAGCTGCGGCTCACTGGTGGTGCTGCTGCCCAGGCCCAGCTCCACCTGACGCAACGGCTTGCCATCCTTGCGCCAGCGTAATGTGACGCTGTTGCCCTGCCTGTACGATTCGGGCAACTGATAGACGCAGGGCATTTGGATGGGGGTCTGCTCCTTAACAGTTATGCGTCCACTCGGGCCCTGGGTAATGCCGACATCCGTTTCTGTTGCTGGCGCGCCTGTGGATAATGTGATCAACATTTTGGTTTGTGGTCAGCAATGTTGACTCATCGCTGTCAATGAAATTGATAACCTTACCGCGCACACAGCTGCACGAGCAGAGGATGAGAGCGGAGCTCAACAGCAGCAGCCGGCTCATCTTTATCTCTGACTTGATCATGGCGTGAGTTAGAGAATTTCTTTGATTTGCGCGTTCTCCTCTTGCTGTTCGGTGTTTCTGGGTTCTTTGAGTTGCGCGCAAAAAATAATGGAAAAAAAAAGAAACCAACAAACAAACAAAAACCGGTGTACGGACGGCCCCTGCGTTTTATGATTTGTGTTGCAGGAATTTTTGGGTTTCCGTTCGCCTTTTATTTTATTTTTGTATTTTCTTTTCTTTTTTTATATTCAATTTTATTTTTTATTTTTGTGAGTTTGCCTTTTAACACAGCTTAAGTTTCATTTGACGACGCACAGTGGCGGGCCAACAGCCGCTTAATGTTTTTTTTTATGTTACGCACACGCGTCACGCTTAATTATCCTGCTGCATGGTTCGTAGAGACCGAAGAGCAGAGCACGCTGAACCGACAACCTCGTGCGTTTGCATCCAAAATTCAACTGACGCCGCAGCGAGCTAATTTAAGGCTGGCAAGCGGCACGAGCCGGTTGACGCATGCGCTCAAAACTGATCCCAGTATTTGCTGTGCGCCGAATGCAACTCTGCGCAACCCTACATTTTCTACTCCTCTTTTTTGTTCAGCCGCCGCACGCACATACTACCAAAAAAAGGTGGCAAACCGTTTATTGTATTTATACCGATTTTAATAATCTCTATAGTTTTGTTTGGCTTTGCAGTTCCTATTTGGCAAACTTGTACTATAACATTCTACAGAAATTAAAAAAGTATTGATTGATAATGTGTTGGAAATTTAAGTCTAGAAATTGTGATTGGTTGATACGCGACTATATTGCGATTGCCGCTTGGCCACGCGGAAGGGACATCGTGTCATCATTTTATAGACGATGGCACTGCACAGCACAAAGAGACCCCAAAACAGATAGCTGAAGAGCAATATAAACCGATTGGGCTGCCATAGCACAGTATAGCTTAAATTGTAGTTTTCTAAAATATGTATAACATGAGTATGAGATGTATACATGTATTATTCATATGAGACTATTCCACACTCACCTAGTACGGCATACCCTATGCCAATCTTAAATTTACCCATGCGATATGAACATGTTGGCACCATTATCTCCAGGTAGCTGTGCTCCTTCTCTTTCAGGGCTTTCAGATCGAAATGCCGCACATCGTTCTCATAGAATTTAATCGCCTTTATCGACGGATAGACGAATATCCGCGACTCATGCCAATGACCTGTGAACAGTATATGTGGATCCAAATCGTTAATAACGGCGCGCAACAGTGGCCCACCGCCAATTAGCAGTGGGGCATGGGAGACTCCGATGCGTAGGCGTTCAGCGTTGTGTTCCTTGTCGGGATTCGTGTAGTCCAATAGCATGCGATTGATTTTGAAGAAACGTAAGTGATTGTCATAGTCAAAGATATCTTCGCTCATGAATTCATTTTCAAAGCGTCGCTGATTTGAATTGGATATGTAATCGCCATCATCGCCGCCAATGTCGTTATCGCCCGGCACATGGACACGCTGAAAGTAGGCAGATATCATGCGAAACTGAATATTTATTGGTTTGAGCTGGTAAAACTCAAAATAAACTTTTACCTACATTTGTTAGCCTCTTATTTGTATAGATGCGCTTGAAGCGCTGCACATATTGCTTGTATTCCTGAGCGGTAGCTATGTTACCCTCATCTAGCAAGTCTCCCAAAAAAACTAAAATATGTGGTTGTGTGAAGGATACGGCACGTTCAAAGGACTTCTTCAGATACCGATCCAGGTCGTACCGTGCAAGTGCACTGTGTGCTGACTGATCGTAGGCATTGCCCAGGATTTGTGGATCGGCAATGAGCAGTAGGCGGGTGCAGTTTTCTAAAGGAATTCAGAGCAAATGGCATATAAAATTTTATAGATAAGATATAGTAATGCTCCTACCCAGTTTACAATCGATTGATTTCCAGCTAGATTGTGCTATATAGTATATAAGTACTTCGTTGAAGAATATGAGGAATACAGTGACCACAATAATCCCTCGACAAAAAAGTCTTCAAGAAATGCAGTTGTTATAGTCAGAAATGCTTGAGTAGTACATATAAAATAGATAGTAATACCTATTGACGAGCCGCACAGAAGCCATAATTATGCTTAGCGTTGGGCTTCACTACGTTGATGGATTAATTATGCGTTGTATGAAAATGTTGTTGTTTTTTTTTTTTTTGTTATATCCCATAAACTATTGCGTTCACTGAAAATGTCTAAATTTAGAAAACTACACAATTTATGCTTATGTTTTTCAGTATGCCTAAAAATATATTACATATATATAATATAATAATATATTTTTTGGGCATTTAATTTTTTTGACAGATTTGAGAGGACGCTGGCACCGCATGCAGCTGGCATCGGCAACTGGTTCGCTTGTGTTGGGGGACAGGCACACTCGGCGCTGTTCTGCCTAATTAAATTAAAGAGAATTACAAGGGCTGTGACTGATAATTAGAACGATGTAACGGAACGGGTGCACTTACCAGCGTTGCCGATTGTTTAGTTTGTTTATTTCCACTTGGCGACGCTGTCGGCCATGCGCGCCAGCTGGTTGTCATGAGACCGTGTTGAGCTGCCAGTTAACAAACTTAGGCCCGAATACTACCGTTAAAGTTGGTGCAGTAAGCACTAACGGTCAGCGTTTCAAAACAATGCATTATCACTTTTAAAGCAACACAGATAAAAAAAAAACATTTAGATATATGTAACCGTTCAGCTGTTGAGGCAGATAACAGTCTGTTAACGCCACCCAATTGGCGCTAACATAAATATGTTAACTTGAGTCAATGTATTGAAAAGCAACTCTGCCTGAATGTTGCCCATTTGCCACATTTTTACAGTCTGTCCACATTGTGTAGTATAGTAATGGCGTGCCATTCCGCACAAAAAGTGCGCTGTTAAAAATTTTTTCTTGCTAACAACAAACGCTCCAGAATTAACAGCTGAAATAATAAAAACAGATGAAAATGACAAAATAAGTGTCAGGAGTGTTTATGTGGTGTTCTGATTATAACGCATCGTGCCTGTGCTACAATACTTCGGGCTGAATTAAAAGAATTGGCAATTTTTTTACCGCTGGCTGCTGCTCTCAAAAAGTGAAAAGTAAGACCAGCTCAGGCAAAAACTTGCAGCTGCAAAGTGAAGCAAATTTGCATGATAATTTTGAAAATGCCGTATAGTGCATGTTCTGAAAAAAATATTGTTGTGTCATTTTTATTTTATTTGTGTAAATGAAAAGAAAAACATTGCATCTCAAGTTGTTAGTAGTTTGCGTAAATTTAGCTGTGTGAGTGTGTGTATGCCATAAGCGAACTGCTTGGCAATGCTGCCGCCCGCTGTAATCGTTGATTTGGCAATGCTGCCGCTCTGCTTTGGCGCTGCAGTGTGGCTTATTTTTGTTTTTTTTTTTTTTTTTTTTTATTTATCAACTTGAGGGTCACGCTTGCTTTTGTTTTTGGCTTTTAATATTATATATATGCCCTCTATTATTAACATAGAAAGTGCCTTCAGTTCGTGTCGCTCTTGATTGTAATTGTTTTTATTTTTTGCATTCATTGTTTACATTCACAGTTGCATATTGTCTGCAGAGAAGTTTGTGTCGAACGAGCGAGGGAGAGAGTGAGCTTTTAGAAGCAGCAAAACAATGGCGGATATTGTTTATCCCAACGGCTGTCGGCCGTTGGTTGAGGATTTGGGCACCGACGAGCTTATCCGTCGACTTAAGGTTTGTGTTGTTGTTCTAAGCTATGATTCAGTTTTACTAACGTGTCTAAATCCACAGACTTTAGCCAATGTACTACAGACTATGGATCAAGATGACAACCTGCACCAGCAGTATATACCATTAGCTTTGCACCTACTCGATGATTTTTTTATGCAGCATCAGTCGAAAGATGTCCAATTGTTGATTGCGTGCTGCATAGCGGATGTTTTGCGTGTATACGCGCCTGAAGCCCCTTACAAGGAACAAGATCAAATCAAAGCGATCTTTAAGTTTTTTATTAAGCAACTCCATGGACTAAAGGATCCGCGGGATCCCTCGTTTAAGCGATACTTTTACTTGCTGGAAAATCTGGCATTTGTCAAATCATTTAACATGTGCTTCGAACTGGAAGATTGCCAGGAAATATTCCATGAATTATTCAGCACAGTTTTTAAGATTATCAAGTAAGTATTCATTATTATTCATAAGTAATATAATAAAACCCATTTGATTCTATAATTATAGTGATCAGCACAGCGTTAAGGTGAAGAACTTTTTTCTCGATGTGTTGAGTCCTCTGATTACTGAGGCAGATAATTTGTCTGTCGAACTGCTGGATCTTATATTGATCAACATTGTGGAGCCAAATAAATCAACCAACAAACATGCGCATGAATTGACTGAACAGTTACTGCTCAAGACAGGAGATGCCTTCGAGGCAACCATTAAATTGGTAACAAATAATAACATGCAAATCAAAAAATTAAGGTTTTTAAACGCTTGTATTGTCTTTTATCTAGTTCTTCAATCGTTCATTGGTCATGGACAAGCCTAATAACAAGCTAGCCATTACTAGTAAGATCTATGATTTAATCTATGAGCTAAACCAAATCAACAGCGATCTATTGGTATCGGTCCTACCACAACTGGAAAACAAGCTTCTCTCCACCGACGATGCCGAGCGACTGAGTAAGTGCGGTTTTGTTTTTGTTCAGCCTGGTAATACAAACATAAGTTTTCTCAATAAACAGAAGCTACAACACTATTGGCGCGCATGTTCTCCGAGAAGGATTCTCAATTGTCTAAGAAGTATCCATCGCTATTGCGTGTATTCTTTGGCCGGTTTTGTGACATTACTGAACCAGTTCGCGTTAAATGCGTTCAATCTTCAATGCACTTTTTGCTCAATCATCCGCATCTGCAGGCTGAAATAACCGAAAAGCTTCGGATGCGCCATCATGATCTGGACGAGCTGGTGCGCCATGAGGTCGTGATGGCGATTGTGGAAACCGGAAAGCGTAATTTCGATATTGTCGTTAAGTCACCAGAGCTATTAGAAATTGTACGTGAACGTACGATGGACAAAAAATATAAAATTCGTCGTGATGCTATGAACGGCTTAGGATACATATATAAGCGAGCAATTTGCGAGCCAAACGATTTAAGTGAAGATGTCAAAAGCCAAGTAGATTGGATAAAGAATAAAATTATGCATGGCTACTACAAACTGTGTCTGGAGGATAAACTGATGGTGGAGCGTCTGCTCATCACCTGTCTGGTGCCTTATAAACTAGCACCAGAGGAACGTATGAAGAAGCTCTATCATTTACTAGGAGATTTGGATACGAATGCAACAAAAGCTTTTGTCGAGTTGCAGAAGAATCAAATGAAGTCACGGCACACGGTAAGTGATTGGATTAAGCTGCACCACTCCAAGGAATTTACGCCTCGTGTGCTCAGTCAACTGGCCGCAAAACAGGCCAACATTGCCAAGTAAGCACACAAATATGTTATTATAGCTCTTTAAGTAAAACCATAATTAATGCTTTTAGATTGCTTCCGGATCCGTTGAAGGCTAGTGAGTTTATCACACAGTTCAGTCAACATTTGCGCAAAGATGCTCAGCTACTACGCTGTATAAACATTGTTCTTAAGCGGGATGTGAGTTGCCGGGAATGCGCTGACACAATGAGCGTGCTGCTCAAAAAGCTAGGCGCTCATGTAATGACCAATCTCTACTATAATACGGTCAAAATGCTAATTGAACGCGTGGCTTCCGTCATGGTGGATAAGGAGTCAATTGGAGTGCTAATCGGGTAAGTTGTATTATAAAATATAAAATATGCATCCACATGTATTAGCATTCATTAATAATCCACTTATCTGAAAAACCTGAATCCATGCTTAATTACTCTATGACGTTTACAGGTTGATCGAACAATGTATTCAGGGCGGTGACATTTGCCACGAGATTGGAATATCATCGCTCGAAGCAGGCGAACGTGGCCTTAAGTTGTTATGCGTAGGTGAAATCAAATTTTAACTGGTCCAATATTTCTACAGTGTTGTTTTGTATCTTTTCAGATGCTATCGTATGTTTTTTCAGCTCATTTCTTTACGGATACCTCGTTGCGACATCTTATTGCGCTTTTAAGTTATGAGCAAGAATATGTAGCACCGTTAGTGCTGAAAACACTGACCCATTTGGGTCGTTATCAGCCGCTTATTGACGATGCCAATCCGGCTATTCTGAATGAACTGGCACCTATTTGCAAGGATTTTGCGCTTATGGGTACACCCAAGCAGGCCAAGCATGCAGTGAGATGTATATTTGTTAATAGTCAATCATCATCGACGGCCACTACGGATGGCGGTGGGAGTGCCTCAACTACAACACAAACAGTGCATCCCATTTTCAATGAAATCATTGAGGAATTGAGAGTTAAATTAGCACCCAATTGTGAATATCAGCGAACTAAGATAGTTACATTGGGGCACATAGCGTACAATATGCCACAGGCATTCCTTACGCCCATCAAAAACATGATTGCGAGGCGCATTGTCAAGGAGCTACTTATACAAGAAGTGCCAGCGCAACGGGATCACGAACTGCCCGAAGGTGAGTGGTGCGAACAGGATGAACTGCCACCGGACACACTCTGCAAATTAGATGCTCTTAAGACGATGGCACGCTGGTTGCTCGGCCTACGGTCTGACGAACATGCAGCCCAGAAAACCTTTCGAATGTTGGCGGCCTTTGTTAATCAGCGTGGTGATTTGCTAGCTCAAAATAGATTATGCGGTGCTGAAAAATCGTGGTTGCGTCTAGGTGCCGCCTGTGCAATGCTTAAGGTGTGCGAACAGAAAGGCGTTGGCGATCAATACAGCGCCGAACAGTATTTACAGCTCTCCCAGCTGATGGTCAGTACATATATAGTTAACTATTTAAACATGTATTCATTAAATTTAATTTCTTATTGTAGGAGGATCCTGTTCTGGAAGTGCGTGAGATATTTGCCCGAAAACTGCATAAGGGTCTGGGTCGGGGTCTGCCGCGCCATTGCCTGCCCTTGGACTTTATGGGTTACTATGTATTGAGCGGCAAGGAAACCAATAGAAAGTAAGTATTCGACTTTTGCAATGATTAAAATAACTTTGTATAATATATTTAACATTTTACTTCAGATTACAAGATCAAGTCCGTCATTATGTGGAGGCAGATGTGAATAGGCGACGGGAATATCTTAAGACTGTGGCCATGACCTGTAAGTTATGCTGTATGCCATTCCTGAAGGAATACTAATATTAACTATTATTTTATATAGCACCGGATAGCTCTACAGAATCGCAATCGTTGCATATTTTACCTGACTACATGCTGGCCTTTGCCATTCCGGTGCTGGTACATGATCCTAGCTTCACGAACCACGAGGACTATGTACAGCTCCGCCATATGGAGAAGTGTTTGCGCTTCATACTGGAGCCGCTGATGGCGAAACGAGAATCATTTGTGTATGGCTTTTATAAACAGCTGCTGCATCTGATAAAACACCGCGAGTACAGTCAGAGTTCGGAGAAGGATAGGATGCAAAACAACTATGTACGTTTTTTTTTCTCTATATTGGCATTTCTTGATATTAATATTGACTTTGTTAAAATAGAAAATGTGGGCGCTCTGTGATCTCGCTATGCATATTATCGATGCTAAAGTTGGTCAATGTGATGGCAATTCGAGCGCATTCTCAATGCCATTGGCGCTGCCTGAAATGTACTATAAACTGCCCGCCGTTGCAAATTTCCAGAATAATGAAGTCTATATACCATTGGACGTGTACACATTGGGCGCCAAGACAAGTAAGGCGTCAGCGGCATCGTCCCATGCAACTGCTGCCAGTTCTAAGCGGACTGCAGCATTAGCAATTATGGATGATGACAATTCACAGGTAAATTGACACTGATAACCAAAACCAAAAAATGAACTCTGAGTAATTGCTGCCCTTTTTAATAGGAGAACAATCTCTTTGATAACATACGCGCCGCAGACACTACGGAGCCGATGACTAAGCGAACGCGCGGCGGTGCCGCAGCGCCTGCGAAATCGTAGAGCAGAATACGGCTACTTGTTAGTATAGTGTTAGTTTAGGCCCTAAGTTAATTAAATATTTAAGACGTAGATGGGTACTACGATTAGAACATACACTTACACACACGCACACACACACACACGCCACGGACCAACAGCAAAACCCTCAGCCGACAAAAATTGCATCTTTGAAATTATTGTAATTATTTGTGTTGTGTGTGGATCGATGCAGCAAGCAAACAGACCAATCAACCAACATGGCAACATACCAATCTCTGATAGTGTCGCCTATTTTGTTAATTTTAGTTCTAATTATATGAGAGAGCATAGTTTTACCTCTATTATTATTCTATTATATATTTTAATTGTGTACTGTTTTTGTATTATGCTCCTTTTGGCTTGTTTGATTGTAAACCTTTTGCACTATTTAAAACAAAAATTAGTTTTAGATATACAACAAAAATTTATCGAATAAAAAAAAGAAAAAGAACTTAGAATGCAAATTAGTTGAAGTATACCCCGACGTAAAGTAACAGAGCCTTATTAAGAAATTAATAATAACTTTTCTATGAACGCAGTAAAAATTTAGTTAATATAAAATGCGTGATTAATCATAATATACTTTATAATACATATACACATATACATATTCATAAAACACGGAGAATGCATTCAAAATGTATTAAAACAATTGAAGAACATTGTTGTAAGCGTATTGAATTAATATTAATACTGAAGAAAACAAAATTGTACATTTAACTATTAATACTGTTTTTCAAATACAAATAATTATTTTAAACAAAGTAATAAGAATAAAATGGTCCAAGAAATCATTCAAATTTATAAGGTACGCGCGTACTATTTTACGGAGAGCTACGGTAACACTGAACTATCGAGAGTTGCCACTATGCGCACGCAGCTTGGCAACGCCTCAAGCAATTGCATTTATTCTGTCAGAGGGGTGCGTCGAGAGAGTGTCTTTTTTTTTCGTGCATTTTTGTGATTGCTCTTGAAATTGAAAGAAGAGTTAATGAAATAAGTGTAGCAATCATATCAAAAGAGACGTAAATATATAAAGTGCAATACGAAAAGCAACCGGCGCATGAATCGTTTTCAACTTTATTTGGCACCAAATCGTTCGCGAGCCGATTCGGCACAGTCAGTATGAAAACTAACGTGCAGCCGAGCGGCCAGGAGCAGCGCATTTACACCTCAACCCCGATTTTCAAGAAGCAAAGTAAATCGGGGCAGCGCACCGACGCCATTGGCCTTTGTAGTTTCGCCAAAGCAACGGCAAAACAATATTTTTGCGTGGGCAATGCTAATGGTGTCAAGGGCCAGGAGTCAGTCATTAACATCCTAAAAGCACTCTTAGCAGTTGTCATTTTAGTTATCGTCTACAAAACTATAATTTTAGCAAGTGAGTATATTCATTCAAGGCAGCACTTGTGTCTGTTTCCCATTTTTTGTTGTTTACAGTAGTGTAAAAATAACGGAATGTGCATATGTACTTATACACAGATGTTTTTACATACATTTATGTGTATATATACAATGGCATATTGAATGATCTCATAACGATTTCCATTCGTATTGCTTTTGTGTTTCACCTTCATGTTGCGCCTTTCCAGCACGTTCCCCACTCCTCAAACAACCCTTCCTCCCTGCCGTTAAATGCGCTAAGCATCTAAATAAAGACCCACTGTTGCGCATTTTGTTTTGACCAATAGCAAAGCCATTTGCATACACAACGCCGCAAGGCAGAGCAGCGATTATCCACTAATTGCTAAACGTTTTCTTGACTTTTGTTGACATACACAAATACGAATTTAAGTTAGTAAGTATGTATGTATGAGGCACTACAAACATGTCAAGTTCTTGTATGTATTATGAATGACTTAACGGTATTTTGTGCTCAGTCGCGTCACGCGACCAAAAACGCACAGTGGCACGATGATAGCACGTAAATAAAATATCAAAGATTGAACTTTTTAAACTTTTTATTACGACTTGGCAAGAAATTTTAAAATAATTTAAGAAATGTAGTGTAAATAAAACTAACGGTATTAACTTTTTTAAATTTTATAATCTTCAAGAAAATACTATTTAGGTTACTTTAAAATACATATTTTGTCGCCGATGCTATTCCACTGTGCAGCAGTTGAGTGGGCGTCGGAACTGGTCGAGCTACGAGTTTTCCTCATTGTTAGCTGTCAGCTTTTGCAATCGTCAATTTGAGCAGACGTCGCGAGAAACAATTTTGTGTTCGGTTTATTATTGCTGTTATTTTGTTGTTGGCTGACGCCAGCGCACTGCTGATATTACCCAATATCGAATACCTGACCTTGAAGCGCGTATCTATTAATAACCTATTCCAATTGCCGCCCCCACAGTGTCATACATAAATGGCAGCGACGTGCAGCAGCTGAGCAGCTATGTGCAAGCCCAGCTGAGCGGTGCTTTTAAAAAACTCCTTCCCGTGCTGTGCGGTCTGCTTGTGGCAGGATTCGGCTATGCCATTGTCTACTTGGACAGCGCGGCGCCAGGTGTTTCGCCACCAACACCATTATCACCGCGTGCCAAGCAATGGTAAGTTAAAATGCCTCAATAATGTAGATCAATTTTTTCTTAGCTACAAACTCTTCCATTGCAGGTCTTCCAATAACAAATCCTCAATGCAGCTTAACTATTTCTGTGCACTAGCCGTGGGAATTATCGTTACATTCTTTACATATTCTCATTTGTGAGAGCAAAGAATTTCCTTGTAGTCAATTATGGCAGCAGTATTAAGTATTCAATTCAGTCCAGTTAAAAAATAATAATTTATTTTTCACGTAAATGAAGTATTATATAAAATATATAAATATACGTTTGCATTGTGCAATGCTCCTGAAGCAAAAACCTAACAACAAATCCAGTAAAAGCTAAAAGAAGCTCAGCGTCAAGCTTGAAATTAAACTGTATATTAAATATATATGTAGATTAAACTAAATATTAACTATAATGGATTACTAATATGCTTACATATGCAAATATGTGTAAGACCAATGTGAGAGTACAAATTGTGGAAATGTGTAAGGCACTTAAACAAATTAACTAGTTATGTGTACTAAAAAGCAATATCTGATGCATATGGCCATTGGAAAGGCTAAATTTAAATAAATTAAAAACTACTATTTGTGTTTTGCATTAATATATATGAGACAACATTCTGCAGGCGCGTGAAATTTTGTTGCCAGTCAACAAGACTTACCTGTGAAACGCTGAAGGTATTCAAACGATTCTCACCTATAAAACGGCCCACTACATTAACGAAACAACCTGTGGCACATAAAACACTATTTGATTAATTAATTTATGCAGGGTGACAAACACTTACCATTGGTCAATGCTTTCAGCTCACCATCGAAATCGTAGAAAATCGCCTGAAGAATCGGTCCTTTATCCTCATTGCGCAAAAGCAAAGTCTGTTCGCCTCGTTTACCCGCGATGATTCGTAAAAGCTGACCTGTTAAGCATACAGTTATTTTTAGCAGTACAAAAGTGTCTATTAGCCTACCATAGATATTCCAGAGTGCATTTAAATGTGGCTGCTCTCGATGCATTTTAATGCAAAAGTCCACACGCCCGATTAAGCTCACTAAATCACGTCCAGGCTTTAACATCGGTGAAGCTGGCAACGCGGCAAGCGGTTCAGCTTTGGGTATTACAGTTATTTCTTTTTTCGCACAGCAAAAAGATTTGTTGAGACCTTTAGGTGGCGGATTGTAGACAAACTCGTGTTTGGGTTTAATTTTAACGGGATCTTCAACAAATCCAGAAAATATAAGCTTCTTGTCCTTTTCGCAGAGAGTCAATTTGGTTTGCTTTAACTGACTTCCAGTTTTTCGCAATAGTCCGGAAGCAGTTTCAAAGCTCCGATTGCCAAGCAAATGTTCATTTGCCTTAAGTTGAGCTTTGAATTTTTGCTGGGTATTGGTGGATAAGTTGTTGATTTTTTTGGCTGTGTATATAAATTTTGTTGAGCGTATATTCACGAAATAATTTCATTTGCTTACTTTTGTGTGTGAACATTTTGCACTGGAAAACCGACAGTTACACAGTTGAAAAGAAAGGTGACCATGTTATTCTATATTTTGGAGCGCTAGTATTTTATGCATCCCTGGTATAGTTTTTGGTAGTTTTCGATTTATCCGATTTAAAATTATCGCACTGACTCTTATCGGCAGTCTCCACGCGAGTTTATTTTCGTTCTTAATGTATTAAAAATTTGTAAATAGTACTCATCGAATTGACGAAACTTTGGCATTAAACAACTAACCCGGAAGCGATGAGTACGATTCTTGAGAAAATTGCGGCCATCGAGTCGGAGGTAAGCTGCCGTATCCCAGTCAAAAATCTGCCAACTACGAAGTTAACCTGTCTCCCCGTCTTTCTTTTACTTTATACATATGTGTGTGTATGTGACATAGATGGCACGCACGCAAAAGAATAAGGCAACGTCTGCCCATTTGGGTTTACTGAAAGCCAAGCTTGCTAAGCTCCGACGTGAGCTTATCTCGCCAAAGGGCGGCGGCGGCGGCACCGGCGAAGGTATGTTGAGCTTTCATTTAAAATAGGGTATGGCTTTAATCAATGCATTTTCAGCCGGCTTTGAGGTGGCCAAGACGGGAGATGCGCGGGTGGGCTTCGTTGGCTTTCCCTCGGTGGGGAAGTCGACGTTATTATCGAATTTGGCTGGCGTTTACTCTGAGGTAGCCGCATACGAGTTCACAACGCTCACCACTGTGCCGGGTTGCATTAAGTATAAGGGAGCCAAGATACAGTTGCTTGATTTGCCTGGTATTATTGAGGGCGCGAAGGATGGCAAAGGTCGTGGTCGCCAGGTGATTGCTGTGGCGCGAACATGTAATTTGATCTTCATGGTGCTGGATTGTCTGAAACCATTGGGCCATAAAAAATTGCTGGAGCATGAATTGGAAGGCTTTGGCATTCGATTGAATAAGAAGCCTCCAAACATTTACTACAAAAGAAAGGACAAGGGTGGCATTAATCTCAACTGCATGGTGCCCCAATCAGAGCTGGATGCGGATCTGGTCAAGACCATATTGTCGGAGTACAAGATACACAATGCTGACATCACATTACGTTATGATGCAACTAGTGACGATCTGATTGATGTCATTGAGGGCAATCGCATTTACATACCGTGTATTTATCTGCTGAATAAGATTGATCAAATTTCAATTGAGGAGCTGGATGTGATCTATAAGATACCGCATTGTGTACCCATATCAGCGCATCATCATTGGAACTTCGACGATTTGCTTGAGCTGATGTGGGAGTACTTGAAGTTGGTGCGAATTTATACCAAGCCCAAGGGTCAGCTGCCCGATTACAACTCTCCGGTCGTCTTGCACAATGAACGCACAAGCATCGAGGACTTTTGTAATAAGCTGCATCGATCTATTGCCAAGGAATTCAAATAGTAAGTTCAATTACTTATTTAACGCTCAATTTGTGTAAATGGTTTATATAAATTTTTTAGTGCGCTGGTCTGGGGATCATCGGTTAAACATCAACCGCAAAAGGTGGGCATTGAGCATGTACTGAATGACGAGGATGTGGTGCAAATTGTGAAAAAGGTCTAGGGCCTCTTATTATATAAATATATATTTTGGATTTTAATTGTTTGCATTTTCTGAAATAAAACACGAATTGCACTGACTATAAGCAGCGTTGCTGCTTGAGATACATTTTTGAAGAAACCGCCTGTTGCTTACTTTCAGTATAATCGATAAAAAACTATCGATAGCTGAATTCATATGCTTTCGCTCCGATCCACCACTAACCACGCGTTGTTATTATTGCTAACATTAGATTGGTTCTTTTTAAATGGGTGAAGCGAAAAAGGACGATGCGTCTATGGAGGATGACAGCTGGACGCAAGGCGACAGTAAGGAATGGTCCAAGCCCATCAAGCCATTGCAAGAGAAATGGAAACTAGTGCCGGCTTTCTTGCAAGTCAAAGGCCTTGTCAAGCAGCACATTGATTCCTTCAATCACTTCATCAATGTCGATATCAAAAAAATTGTGCGTGCCAACGAAATTGTAACCAGTGGTGCAGATCCGCTTTTCTACCTGAAGTATTTGGACGTACGTGTGGGCAAGCCGGACATCGACGATGGCTTTAACATAACCAAAGCGACCACGCCGCACGAGTGCCGGCTCCGAGACACCACCTACTCGGCGCCCATCAGTGTGGACATTGAGTACACACGTGGCACCCAGCGTATTAAGCGCAACAATTTGCTCATTGGACGCATGCCTTTAATGCTCAGATGCTCGAACTGTGTGCTCACTGGTAAATCCGAGTTCGAGCTCTCCAAGCTGAACGAATGTCCGCTTGATCCGGGCGGTTATTTCGTGGTGCGTGGCCAGGAGAAGGTCATTCTCATACAGGAGCAGCTCTCCTGGAATAAAATGTTGACTGAGGACTTTAATGGTGTCGTTCAGTGCCAGGTCACCTCGTCGACGCATGAGAAGAAATCGCGCACGTTGGTGCTGAGCAAGCATGGCAAATACTACCTGAAGCACAATTCAATGACGGACGATATACCTATTGTGGTCATCTTTAAGGCTCTGGGCGTCGTATCCGATCAGGAGATAATGGCTCACATTGGTTTGGATGCGCGTTCTCAGAATCGATTTGGTGCCTCTCTTTTGGAGGCCTTCAATCTGAAGATCTTCACACAGCAGCGTGCCCTGGATTATATGGGTGAGTCTCGACTTGTGGATACTTAATATGCTTATTCAAATCATTTCATCCTCACAGGCTCCAAGTTGGTGGTGAAACGCTTTCAGAGTACCACGACTAAAACCCCCTCGGAGGAGGCTCGCGAGCTGCTGTTGACCACAATTCTAGCCCACGTGCCCGTCGACAATTTCAACTTTCAAATGAAGGCGATCTACGTATCGTTAATGGTGCGACGAGTAATGGCCGCAGAGCTAGACAAGACGCTATTCGATGATCGTGACTATTATGGAAATAAGCGATTGGAGTTGGCTGGATCGCTGATTTCTCTGATGTTCGAGGATCTGTTCAAGCGCATGAACTGGGAACTGAAGATGATAGCGGACAAGAATATACCCAAGGTGAAGGCGGCACAATTCGATGTGGTGAAGCACATGAGAGCGGCCCAGATTACCGTTGGCCTCGAGTCTGCCATCAGCTCTGGGAATTGGACAATTAAACGTTTTAAAATGGAACGCGCTGGCGTTACTCAGGTGCTGTCGCGACTCAGCTACATCTCGGCGCTGGGCATGATGACGCGCGTGAACTCACAGTTTGAGAAGACGCGAAAGGTATCTGGTCCCCGTTCACTGCAGCCCAGTCAATGGGGCATGCTGTGTCCTTCCGATACGCCCGAGGGCGAAGCCTGCGGTCTAGTCAAGAATCTGGCACTAATGACGCACATAACGACCGAAGTGGATGAACGGCCGGTCATGACGTTGGCCTACAACGCGGGCGTCGAGGACATACGTGAGGTCAGCGGCAATCCCATCAATAATCCACACGTTTTTCTGGTGTTCATCAATGGCAATGTGCTCGGTCTGACCATTAATCAACGACATCTGGTGCGCAACCTGCGCTACATGCGCCGCAAGGGACGCATGGGCAGTTTCGTTTCCATCCACACGTCATACACACAGCGCTGCATCTTCATACACACGGACGGCGGACGGCTGTGCCGGCCATATATCATCGTGGAGAACCAACGGCCACTTGTGCAACAGCGTCATTTGGATGAGTTGATGCGGGGTGTACGCAAGTTTGATGATTTTCTGCATGACGGATTGATTGAGTACTTGGATGTGAATGAGGAGAATGATTCGTTTATTGCCTGGAACGAGGAACACCTTGAGCCGCACACAACGCATCTCGAAATTGAACCGTTCACACTGCTGGGCGTCTGTGCTGGCCTGGTACCCTATCCGCATCACAACCAGAGTCCTCGTAATACCTATCAATGTGCGATGGGTAAACAAGCCATGGGCATGATTGGCTACAATCAAAAGAATCGCATTGACTCCCTCATGTACAACTTGGTTTATCCGCAAGCCCCGATGGTCAAGTCGCGCACTATTGAGCTGACTAACTTTGATAAGTTGCCTGCTGGCCAGAACGCCACGGTGGCTGTCATGAGCTACTCCGGGTATGATATCGAAGATGCACTGATCCTAAACAAGGCTTCAATTGACCGCGGCTATGGACGTTGTCTGGTCTACAAGAACTCCAAATGCACTGTGAAGCGCTATGCGAATCAGACCTTTGATAGAATCATGGGTCCGGTGAAGGATGCTCTAACCAATAAAGTGATCTTCAAGCACGATGTGCTGGACACGGATGGAATTGTGGCGCCTGGAGAACAGGTGCAAAACAAACAAATCATGATCAACAAGGAAATGCCAGCAGTCACCTCCATTAATCCACTCGAAGGTTTTTATAATTACATAAATATATATATTTATTTAATATATTCAATTGATTACTCATTCTGTTTACATTGCAGGCCAATCGCAGGTGCCTTATACCGCGGTGCCCATAAGCTACAAGGGACCAGAGCCCAGCTATATTGAGCGCGTGATGGTCTCGGCCAATGCCGAGGAGGATTTTCTCATTAAGATTTTGTTGCGGCAAACGCGTATACCGGAAATTGGCGATAAGTTCAGCTCGCGGCATGGACAGAAGGGTGTTACGGGTCTTATTGTGGATCAGGAGGACATGCCGTTCAATGACTTTGGTATATGCCCAGACATGATCATGAATCCACATGGCTTCCCCTCACGCATGACAGTGGGAAAGACCTTGGAGTTGTTGGGCGGCAAAGCTGGTGTTTTGGAGGGTAAATTTCACTATGGCACAGCCTTTGGGGGCTCCAAGGCGGCGGATGTGCAAGCAGAATTGGTGCGTCACGGCTTTAACTATATGGGCAAAGACTTTTTCTACTCGGGCATAACGGGCGCACCGCTGGAGGCGTACATCTACTCGGGCCCGGTGTATTATCAGAAGCTGAAGCATATGGTGCAGGACAAAATGCATGCGAGAGCACGTGGTCCCAAGGCCGTGCTCACACGCCAGCCCACTCAGGGTCGCAGTCGTGAAGGTGGGCTGCGTTTGGGCGAGATGGAACGTGATTGTCTCATATCTTATGGAGCGAGTATGTTGATAATGGAACGTCTAATGATATCATCCGACGCCTTTGAGGTGGACGTGTGCCGCACCTGCGGCAGATTGGCCTACTGCTCATGGTGTCATTTCTGTCAGTCGTCGGCCCATGTCTCTAAGATATCAATGCCGTATGCTTGTAAACTGTTGTTCCAGGAGCTGACTAGCATGAATGTGGTGCCCAAGCTAATATTGGAGAATTACTAGTGAAGGCCTACATATCTATGTACATATATATTTATATGAAGAAGACAAGGGGAATAAATTGTATGCTTATGTTTGTAATCCTAAACTCTGTGCCTTAAGTTCAATGAACGTGGGGTCGTGGCCTACGTGACCCGCTCATCCATATCCATTCAATGAGCCCTGCCTGCCATTATCCAAAACGGCGCCGTGATAAATGTTATGGCCTAAAACTTGGCAACGTCTGCTTTTAAATTCCCATTTAGCTTCGCCGACAGCCACGCCCAACTCAGCCTCACTTTCACAGCATTTGCGTAAATTTTAACATATTCATGAAGTTTCCAGCGAATGTCAAAGTGAAGTGCCAAAAGAGGCGGGCGAAAAGCTTCACATCAACTGTTAACTAACATAGCACCAGCTGGCTGATTAACAGTGAGGGGCAATGCTCACAAATGTTAGCTAAGAGAACAGCTCGTCCAGAGCGCTGTTATTTTGCAGGCTAGCCAAAGACGGCTTAAGTTTCCTGCTTAATTGCATCTTTTATAGTCGGCCAGGCTTATCAAATTGCTGATTAACCTTGTTTTCGTCTGTGCGCCCTTTGTGTAAACACTAAAGTTATGGCCAGTCAGCGCGTTTGGGCGCGTTTGGGCGCGTGAGGGCGTGTTGAATGGGCCGTTATGTTTGACAATTCCACGTAAATGAGGATTAGGCAAAGTATTTTGGAATATGATTTAGGACATCAAGATTTTTAATAAATAATTTATTTATAAATGATATCAATGTTTTCTAAATTATGAGATTAAAACCAGAACACCTGAAACACCCCATTTTTAATTGAATTTAATTACAGGGTATTTAATATCCATGGGTTTCCGTTCCCACACTCGAACTTGTTGATTATCAATTAGCATAGGAAAATAAACAAATCAAGGCATATACAAATAAAAACCGTCGCTTGTTTTATACTCAGCCTTCTGGGGCTATCTATTTATATGGCCAACAGAGAAGGGTGACAGTTCTCGCCTTGTTGACGTATAAAAAATTCTGTGCTTACACGAAAAAGTGTTGACATTTTTAACTTTTCTCTTTCGTTCGAAGAGGAGGAGGAATACCTTAACTTTGAGTAGCTGCTGCGACTTTGAGGCTATTCAGAATGGCATTTTGGCCAAGTTTGCTGACTTTGTGGGTCAATGCACTGGCACGCACGTGACTCGGCAACTGGCAACTGGCAGTTGGCAACTGGCTACACCTATAAGGCAGTGTCCTTGTATGTCATTTCAAGTCACTTGAGCTCAAAATAGTTAACGCCCAACCACCCGCAGTTGCCTCTGCCGCTGCCCAAGACCATGGTTCTGCCACTGCCTGCTGTTGCAAGTGCAATGACAGCAAACGGGGCAAAGGCAAACAGTTCCTATCCAATGGGGCACAATAACGATAAGACTGCTCACCCAACTGGCTACCTTCCGGCTGGGTATGGGGTCAGGACATGGGCTGGGCATCGCATTCATGCCTTTTGGCTATTTGTCAAAAAGTTTACTTTTGATTCACACACACTCTGAAATACACACGCACAGTTGTTAACATCCGAGATTCAAATGGGTGTTGGCCGGTTAAGGCAAAGTTAAGCGTTGCTTAACTGTTGTTTTACCTAACTTGGGTAAAGAGTTGTTGCCCCAAGGACATTGACTGCCATCAAGTTTGTTGGCATTTTTAATAGCTGATCTATATCAATATAACTTAGTAGCTAGTTTTAAAATATATTTTTAAAATGATTTTTTGGCTTTAATCTTATCATAATTTTTTTCGACAAATTTCTAGCAAGTTTCTTTGAGCACCTGTGTGCCAGTTAACAGTGGGCTGCTAGAGGACTAGCCAAAGAGCAAGGCACACTTTTACAATTTGCACGCTCTTTTATATAAATAAGCTCTTATTTGCTTTGTGCTCTGAGCTCTGTTCTCTTCGCATGAAAACAACAGTGCTGAGAGCTGCTTAAATGTGCAGGCCACATTTAGCTGATTTAGCTGCAAACTCCAAGCTAGATTTGAGTAAATGTAGCACAGAATGTATAGTATATCTTTGTACAAATAAAATATAATATATTATTATTACTTATTACTTAAACGATCAATTTCATCCAACCTTTCAGCTTGAAAATAACTCATCTGCTTTTAGGGTGGACAGCACTGTCCTCTGTTACTGGCTGCTTTTTGTTCTCTTTTTCTGTGCGGCTATAAAAGCCAGTGTCGTTGTTAAAGAGAGTTCAGTTGAAACCGGCGGTCGCTCGCGCTTCTGCTAGCTGCGCGTAAAGGTTGAAGCTACGCTTAAATTATAAATGAAAAGCTGAACAAAAAACATTATGAGCGCATTTTGCACAAAGTAATAATTGTTGTAAATATATTGCATTGAGTGCTGTGTAAACTAAATAAATATTAAATAATTAAAGCTCTATAAATTAAAACAAATGCTGTGCAGTGTTGCAAATGTGCCAATAACTGTTTAGAACAATTTTGAAAAATTTTTAAATACAATAACAAAGCTAGCACAATAGACTCGAGCCAAAATGCCAAATGCCACGGAAATAACAAATGGCACTGACTCCAGAAAGCCATTCAAAGTAAGTTAGCCTATTGTTTGGATTCCAACAAAAGGTCAGAGCAAGGCATACTACAGTGCAATGCCATGCCCTTTTTTGGGCGTCGCAGTCGTTGTTGCTGTAGCTATAGCTCTTATCGTTTATAACCGCGTGCTGTGTTTCGCATTTGCGCTATTTAAAAATTCCCACATACAAAAAAAAAAAACTGGGTGAACTTAAAGTTGCTGTGAGCGAGGAGCGAAGAGCGTGCAGCAAGAGAGCAAAAGCTCTGACTCAGGTTTTGCTGTTAAATGTTGTTTACTTGCGAGAGCACCACAAAGTAACAGTAAAGAGAGAACGCAATGAAAAGAGAGTGTTCAGTAATTCATTTTTGCGTTTGCAAACGCAAAATAATTGACATGCATTTTCGGGCTTTGCTTTTGTTGTTCCTTTTTGTGTTTTGTTTCGTGTGTTTTGTATGATTTTTTTTTTCAGTTTTGAGCGCTTTGGAATTGTTTGTCTTTGGCATTTGCTTGTTTGCCAACAATTGCCTTTGTTGTCAACTAATTTGTTTAGCCGCTGTCTAAATAGCTCACAGCCGTTTAAGGGACGCTTGCATTGTATTTGTCTTGGACAGAGCAAGGCTTAAACCAAGGCAAATCCAACTCAAGAAATTTTCATTCACATACTTTATTTTGGTTTTTCTGAAAATGTTTCGCAAATTTACTGCGGTCGCTTTGTGCTGTAGTCCTTTTATCAGTGGTTTAACAACACGACAAGCAGAAAATTACAGGATTTGTCAGTGCGTCAGAACGCTTCCATTAAAATGTCGCTGTATATTATAATAATTAATTTAAAATGCTGGCAAACATAAATCGGCTTAAAAGCTGCCAAAATACGCAGACAACCATGCAAAATGCTATTAAAAAAGTTCCGCAACTGACATGTCTCTGTAATTAGTAACTGCCACGGCCACGCCCATAAGCTACGCCCACTGCCACACCTACGCCTACGCATACACGCCCACTGCCACTCTCACAGTGACAGCCGGCAGCCGCATAAATAATATATTTCATAATTTACATAATTTGCAGCCATAGTTCAAACAGCAATTTAAACTTGGCGCCTAATTTCCCCAGCGGCTTTCAAATCTGCGTTCTAGGCCTATCAAATATTTACTATCCAACTTGTGGCTATATGCAGTCACCTATCTACCTACCTACCTTCACTGGGGAGTGGCTCCACTCTCTTAGCCCGTCGAGTGACCCAATCGAGACGCAGTCACGTAGTCGCTGTCGCCACTTTGACAGATGCGCTAAGGAGCGGACAGGATATGTTGTACGTGTTGAGTGTCCTGCGGCTGCCAGAAGCGCTACAGGCTCTTTGAAGATTACACGATAGTTCAGCTGAGCCGAGTCGAATTAGCTGAGATTTTTGATCGGTTGAAGTTTCGATTTGTACACTGAGAAAAAATTTGAGATTTCCATATAATAAATAATAAAATATAAAATAATAATTTTCTATTCTCTTCTGATGCCATTTCTAGTCTAAGAAATTTAAAAACTCACTAAATTTATTCTACAACAATTTGAATAGTTTATAGTGTATCTCCCAATTGCTATTTCCAATTCTTTAATGCATTTTCCCATATTTCTGTGCACGCAAATAAATTGAATGTCTGAATTTTAGGCAGAAATGCTGCCTTGAGCCAGTGCAGCTGCAATTTCGATAATATTTATCATTATTTGATGCAATAAATTGAACCAGTTTGAGCTACAGGCAAATAAAATTCGTTTTAAAAATAAAATCACAGTTGGGCTTTTTATTGTATGAAATGCATTTAACGTAATTGAAAATGTGAATATCTGCGAACGGCACATGGAATTGGCTTGCCGCAATCAGACAAAAGATAGTTGGCAGGAGTTGGCATATTGTTAGGCTGCACAACTAGAAAGTACCCTGTATAAGAGACGATTATTATGAATTTCAAAATAGAAACTTTAAAAGCTGTTAAGTTCAAATATTCATGAGATAATAATAAAATTAAACTACAAAGTTTGAAAATAATATTAATAAATAATAATAATCTAAAAATAAAAACTAAAGAATATAAATAAAAAAAATTTAAATATTATATTCGCAGTAAAAAAATATATAATTTAATATGATGATTCAAAATTAAAAATAATAATAGGAAATAAATACGAAATTTTTGCTAGAAATAATAGTGAAAAGTTTTAAATTGTAATAATAAGAATTAAAACAAGACATTTTACAAATGTTTCCATTTAATTTATATTAAAGTTATATAAATTGAATCGATAGCAATTATATGAAAATTGATTGGAATGAACTGCGGACTAACTAAACTATAAGCGTATAAGCAGCTGTATAGATCAAAGATATTGTGCATAAAAGATATACAAAGCTTACTCCATAGAACCAGAGACACTAATTTACTCTTTTTGGCCCCTGGACTTGTCTACAGGGTATTGGAAAGCCACAAATAAAAATGATATCTCTGTAATTCCTCGTATGATGTGCCCTGAAAAGTGCGCTTCAATAGTTCGCGCAAGTTTTGATTGTTGGCAAGTTTTTGGCTTAATATGATTAATATTTGGCGCAAGTTTCGCGCGAGTGCGGCTGGAAAAAGTTTTCAATGCCAGTGAGGCCAGACAATTTCCAGGCAATTTATCAGCTGGCGCTCTCCTTTGAGTTCTGCACTCGAGTTTACTGTTTCGGCTAATGGTCGCTGAAGGCGAAATCCACAATTTTTGCCTCCTCCTTTCTTTTTATCATTTTGCTGGCTGTGTGCCCCGTGCTGCATGCTGTATGCTGTGGGTAATTGTAATAAAAATGCTGTAATGCAAACTCAACTTCAATTTCATTTCGCACGCCCAGCTCTATTATTTATGAGGGCGCGCCTTGCAACGGCACGTTGCATGTTGCCAGCTTGAGTGATAAATTTGGCGAGCAGTCGTGAGGCCGCCTTCGATGCTGTTGCATATCTCACTCTCTCTTTTGCTCTCTCTCTCTCTCTCTCGCTATCTCTGTCTCTCTCTTTGTGCTAGTTGGCCACATCTAATTTATGTTCAGTTTAACCTTAACGCTCAGGCGCCATTTAACATAACATGAAAGTTTAATAGAGCCAGCCAGCAGATGAATGTCCTTGTGCCGTATGCCTTGTGCCGCTGTTGCCGCTTCTTGTGGCATGTATTTCTGGCATGCGCTCCAAAGTATGCTGCATTAAACTGCTGACAGGCATAACTTGTTAGCAAACACGACAAATATTTGTGCGGCAGGCAGACGAGTGCATGTCAAACTGTGCTCAAGTTTTACGCGCAAGCAAACTGCAACACGAAGATGCCGAAAAAAGAAGAACATGAATATGCATATATAAATATTATAGACATACATGTAAAATATTTGCAACATTCCACTTAAACTTCATTTAATGCGAGACTCTCAAAGGCTTCACTGTAGTAATTTTTTTATAAAGTTACGCGGAACAAAAGGCATACGAAATTGGTTTGAAGCTTATTTGCAAAACATTTTGCGCCTGAATAAAGTTTTGCATTTTATCTATTTACTTATTTATTAGGCAAACGTTTGCCATAAATCTCAATTACAGCCGCCAGCAGTTGACAGCTGACAGGGCAACGTGACGTCTACGCAATATTTCTTTTACCTGTTTTATTCGCCTTTCTTTATTTTCTTTGCTGCGGCTTTTCGATTGTTATTGTTATTGTTGCTCGTTTACAAGTGTGCCTGTGTATATATGTGTGTGTGTTTGTCCCTTGGGCATAATTACTTGGTATTTGGTTTCTAAATTACTCGAAAATTTGACTCTAACGACTGCTTCATTCGCTGCCGCTGCTGTGGCACTGACTGATGTGCCGCTGATGACAGCCATTGGCGATAAGTGTTAATTACATTTTGATCAACTTACAGCGCAATTAAGTTAGTTTAAGTCACATGTAGCTAGACGAAATACAAGTTTAACAAGCGTAAAGAGTTCTTTTTCTATAAACCGAGAGTTGAAGAGAGATTTCGTGACAAGAACAAGCGAAAGATTTCTGCAGAATTTCTTACACTTGAAAGGTTACATGTTTATTTATGATTGGTAAGCACTTTTATCGTTCATTGAAATGTTGATTTTAAGTGCCAAAAAGTTTGCGTGCAAAGTTTCCAAATGAAAATATGAAATGAACCAAGTCCGGAGTGTGGTCCAGCAGGGCCTAAGCATACATGAAAACTTTTTGTTTCTGTAGGCTTGGCGAATGTCAAGTTTTCTGCTCGAGCATGAAATGGGACTCATAATGATTAAGGCCAGACCAAGTTCTGGCGGCACTAACAATATATCATAAGTATAATATGCATTTATTGATTTCTTTTTTTGTAGAAATTTATTCATTTGGGAACGTCTAGGAGTTTATGAGTTGAAATTATTATATTAAAATATACAACACATTCTCATCTTTTATGGGGTGATTAAACTCGAAGTATTTATAATAATAATAATAAGAATAAGAAGAATTGTCGGAGGGAAAAATTATGAAAAAATTATAATTTTTACATTTCAAAAAATAGTTTTTAACAATTTAATTGAAATACTTTAAAAATGTAAAGCTTTCTTCATTGTAATATTTTCTTAAAAGTTGAATAAAAGCAATTAATTTACTTTGTGAAAAGTTCAACGAAAAAACATTCTCTGCAGACGATATAAAACTAGATTTACATATGTATGCAATAGTCTTTATGAATGATAAGTATATATATACTTTTTGTAGTAAAACGCTGGGAATATACCCTCTCATTCGGTGATGTAGATTAAAGAGCTTTCAAAGCAGATAACTTTTTGTTTTTAGCTCTCATGCAGGGCATTAAATCAGCTTTGTGTCTAATGAGCACACTCCACTGGCTGTCAAATTTGCATTGACATATACATGATAAACATATATACAAATTTATGTTTTGACTATATTCGCTGGGGCCTAACGTGAGTGTCAGCTAATACTTTAATCTATGTAGCTCTCGTCATGAGGGTTGTCCAGGTCGTGACGCAGTTGTAATGACCCCAACAATCTAGACCCACTTTCAGAAGTTGCTAAGCTGTTAGGCCGTCGGCTGGGTGGGTGCGTGCGTGTGTTGTACTACACCCTATATGATGATGGCCAAAATGTTGGGAAACTTTGGGAACGTGGTAATGAGTTCACGTGTCCGTCGGGGCGAACAAAAAAGCAGAAAAACAAATACATTTTCATCTGCACGCGCTGCCTAATGCCAAGTTGATTAAGCGAGAGCAAGACCTAAAAAACAAAGAGAGAACGAGGGAGATAGAGAGAGAAAAATAATAACAACAAAATGTTTCTGAGCGCTGTTATAGTCGAGTGTCCGGCTTTAATATTTTATTTTGGTCCATGTAGGACTTGTTGTTGCTGCTGTTGTTGCTCTGGCCGTAGTATTAATTTATTATTCATTCAATGTATATCGCCCTCCATATGTGACTGCAAACGTGTAACGGTTTATTATTCCCTTTATCCTTGTTCCTTTCCCTGCTGCCTTCTGCTGCCTATTGCCCACTGCTTACTGCCAGGTCAAGGACGTCACGCGCAACATTAAAAAAGCCGTCTGCGCCGCAAGCCTAGAGGAGATACGCACCAAGGTGGCCGAGAAATTCGACAAGTGCGAACAGCAGCCGACCATCCACTTGGACTCCGATGGTACCGAAATCGACGATGAGGAATATTTTCGCACCCTCGATGAGAACACCGAGCTGGTGGCTGTATTTCCCGGAGAGCATTGGATTGATGTGAGTAGAGCAAATAAAAAATGTTGAGCTAAATGCCAACTGAAATATTTTATATTGTTTTGGGAATATATTCATATTTATTTATTTATTTATCATTTGGGCCAATAGAATATGAAATGTTTTCGTTTTTATAGAGACATTCGCTTTATCCTTCTTAGGGCACAATTGAATTTAAGAGCCGGCCTAATAAAATCTATTTAATTGTTTTCACTTAGCGACATTTGAGGTCACGTACTCGTATTTCAACTGTTTTGTATCTCATATGCTTTATAGCCCACTCACTACGTGACTATAACCACGCCGAATGCCGTGGCCAATGGCAGCATCACTGGTAGTCCGGAGAACGGCGACACCACGGATGCCAATAACTTGGAATCGGCGCGTATCCGCCAGCTGGTTGGCCAGCTGCAGAACAACTTGTGCAACGTTTCGGTCATGAACGACGCCGATCTGGACTCGCTATCCAACATGGATCCCAACTCGTTGGTGGATATAACTGGCAAGGAGTTTATGGAGCAGCTGAAGGATGCGGGCAGGTAAACAAAAGTTACTTTAAAATTCAATTTAATTTGATGAAAGGCTAGCAGAGTCTTTAATTTGCCGATAAATTAGTTTAAATCGACGCACATATAATAACTCATATGAATTTATATACACATGCATATATGTGTCTATCTACTTAGGTGTCTATCTCGCTATTTGTTAAAAAAGTTTGCACTTTAATAGTTAACCAATTGATTCTTTAAGCTCTGTTCGCAAAATTAGCCGAAATCATACTCTCTCACTCTCGCTCAGAGCAAAAGACTTTGGTTCTTTTCGAATTTTATGTTCTGTTAAGCGTCTTGAGTTGAGCTGTTAACGAAAGTTCATTTACAATTAACATTCGCGCAATGAGACTCTGTAAGCGAGCGAAAGCTTAATGCAAACGGTCTTCTCATTGACACACACATATGCACACACTCAGATGTGTTAAGCGGACACAACATACATACGACCAAACGGTCGGAGAGCAACCAAAGCGAAAAAAAAAAAAAAAACGATTGCCGATCGAGAATGAACTCGTGAATGAACTTGCGGTTGTTCTCTGAGTTTTTTATTCTCAGAGTGTGTGTAGAAGAGATATATTTGCATACATCGGCAGAGGATCAACAGTGATTTATTATTACAAAAACTAGTTAAAGTGCCTCAGATTTTATTCAAAAAGTCGAAGATATTTAAATTTTGATGCATTTCTTTATTTATTTGTACATCTTCCACATCTCTTTTGACTTTCCTTCCTAGACCCCTTTGTGCCAAACGCAACGCTGAGGATCGTTTGAACTTGTTGAAACTGCTGAAGGCTGGCGCTATTTTCTGCTCGGAACGCTATCCGGAAGATGCGGAGGCCATTGATCGCGAGATTGGGCGGCAGCTGAACGAGGCAGAGAGCGGTCAGGTGACCACAACAAATGTTAGCAACTCGCGCACCATCGAGGTGGTGCAGTGCGACAATCAGAATACCACCATTACCATAACCGTCGCTGAGGCCACAACCACATGCAGCACTGTCGAGGCGTCGACCCAAAACAACGAGGTTAATGCCAATTCGAACGGTAATGGTGATATCTGACTGCCCATTCTGGGCAGCCTTAGATAGAGCCTGGCTGCCGGGGAGTAGCCGAATTAAGGCACTTTTATCAAACATTGTTTTTACGCAAATCAAAGGAGGAGAAAATGAAGAAGAAAACGAACAGAAGAATCAGTCCTGCAACATTGGGTTAACATACACGTATTTCTAGCATATACTTAGGCGCTGCGAATGGCCAAACGAACAGAATTAAAAAATCTACATCTTGAAACGTATAAACGAAATGTTCAGAAATGCTTCATAGAATTTAAGAGCAAATGAAAGTTAACGAAATATTGTACTAGCATAAAAATCATAAATATCGACGAGTTGTAAAACCAAATGCCGAAAGTCTAAAAAACTTAAGTGCATCATTTAAAGATTGCAAAGTATTAGCATGGATTCAGTAGACATCTATCTATAATCTACAAGCAGCTTGGAACAAGGTAATTGAATCGAAATTGAATGGAAAACAATTACTTAAAGTTGAAGAAGCGTCTTTTATTGGATTTCAATTCTTGGTTCTGATGATTCTTTATTATTAAGTGAAATTTGTTTCGCTTGATTTGGGAGTGTGAAAACGTTCGCTACTTGAGTAAGGTTAGTTGAAAAAGTGGGAGTTTCTTTTTTTCTTTTTTTATAATGGCTGAAGAAGCAAAAATATCATGTATTAAATATACATTTAATTTTTTTTCTACATTTTGTGGTTAGAGCTTGACTATTTTCCTTCTTAGTGAAATTTCCATGAAAAAATACAAAGTTTATTTTATTTCATGGTTAAATATTTGTATTTGAATCGACATGTTCAATATCGGCAGTAAAACTGAGATTCAGAATTAGACTGTGGCCAAATTTCTATCAAATTCAGGATTCCTTTCCATGCTAAGTTGTAACTATTTGAGAACTGTTTTTATGTTAAATGTCTGTATCTATATGAATGTTACCAGATATATGACTATATAGAAACTTCTATAAATCTGAGTTAACACCAGTTGGGCATTGAGCAAAGCTATAAACCTTTATTAATTCTACAACTGCACAACTTCCAGTGGGCAAGTCCAAGCCTTAAACTTAGTTTCAATGCCAGCAAAAGAATAACTTGGAAAATAGTTTTCAACAAACTTTAACTGTAACAGAGTATAAAAAAATCGATTGTTGCCGAGTGCTTAATATTGGGGAATATCAGATTTTGAATTCATGAATGTTGAAGTTCTAAATGTATTTACTTAATGCGTGTGTCAATTGAGCCAAAGCTTATGAATACATTGAATACAATGTGAATACACTGATCAGCATAAAATTCAGGCTCAGAATCGGTTGCATATATAACATGAATCCATTAGTTGCTGATCAAGTTTTTAGCCAAAGTCGAATCATGTCAGAAATAAATGAAAAGTATAACTAAAAATGAAAATCAAAAATAAACGAAAACAATAAATATATAAACAATTAAATAAATATATCATATGAGGGAGTAGGAGACGAAGAAACTATAGGAAAATATCATGTTCATTATTATTGAATAATTGTACGAAGAAAAAAAATGGTTTTAATGCAACTAGTATGATCAAATATGAATTAACATTTTGGGTAGTTAGAATGAGTATTTGAAGGCTTTTTGCAGCTTGAACAAGTTTTAGTAAAAATTTACTCTTTGAAGATAGGAATGAGGGAGTATTCGATTTGTATTATTTTCAATTTTATACAACTTGTTTGGAGTAGTTAGAGTTTGAAATGATGTTGATGCAAACATTTTCTTTTTGTTTTAATATTGATAGTAATCTATTATCCTTTGTAATTCTCCATAAATATTATATATTAAATATGACTGGAGTATTTAGTTATTGGTTTTCATGATCATTAGCGTGAATGATTTGCTCTTGAATGATTTTGTTTTCATTATATCAAAATATATATCAAATATGATATAATGTTATGTTCTGCCATAGCGATTATTGAGGTTAATGAGATATTTGATTAGTATAAGCACAGACGCACACATAAAATTGTTTTTAGACTAATGCCATTGAAAATGTCATTTGTTGAAGCCAATTGAGACTGAATGTATTTATGTGTAACAATTATTTGAGGGTATGAAACAAAACAGATTGTATTTCGAAATCGACCTGGTTTAGAAATTGCTTCAAGTGAATCCCCCACAAAGAATATTGTAGCGTAACCAAATACACACACACTTACACATAAACGTAAAGAATTTAACAACAAACTCTTAATATTAGTAAAATTTAACAATAAATGCAAACGAGAAATGCAATTACACTCTTATAATCATATACAGAAAAGAAAAACGGCAAATCAAAGGCAAATTACAATATACATAAGCAATAAATATACCAAAATCAAAGATAAGAGAAAACTTAAAATTATGACATATACATAGTAACTGCATACACCAAGCAACAATATACCTAAATAAAAGCATATTAACAAAAGCAAGTCGAATATTTACTGTTTCGGGCACGGGCGAACGATGCGTATGCGCAACATGTGCAACAGGGCGTATGAGCCAGGCGCTGGCTAAAGAGCATGAGAACGAAAGCGAGCGAGCGAGCGAGCGAGTGCAAGAGTCGGCATTGAAAGAGCACGAGCTTTGAAGAGAGCGGCAGTAACGTTGTTCTGCAGCTGCTGCAGTTAATTGCATTAAAAACACTGTCGCAGCTGTGACGTCACGCGGCGTGCGTGCCTTGTGACGTCCAACAGTAAAAGGGGCCAGGTCGGCAGCCAGAACGGACCAGGCCAGGGCAGGCCGGGCCGGGCCAGGCCGGGCCAGAATGTGCTCCTGCTGTTGCCCTACTAACACAGTTACACCGCCAGCTGAGCAGCAGCAGCAGCCTGTAACTGACCTAAATTCCCGCCCACTGAAAATTTGATTTGTGTTCTTGCCCTTTTTGCATTGCGTACAAATTAACTTGGCCACTCTTTGTCCAATCGGCAGCCTTAGCGGCATGTGCTTTCACTTTGCCGTTATGCTACCTACCTCTGCTTCGGCTGCTTCGTCTTCATCTTGCTGTTTGTTTTGTTGCCTGCCGTGTCCTTGACATCTCGACATTTGTTTTGGGCCAGCGCTGGCATAAGAAAATTATTTCAAATGTAAATATGAGACCCGAGCTGAGTTAGGACGCGAGTCCGTTCGGACGCCTTTGATGTACAGCCACATTTTCATTAAAAGGCGCATTTTATATATTGCGGTGGGCGGCGTCGGCGTCAGCGTCGACGTCAAAGTCGGCATCGGCATCGTGGGCGTTATTCTAACGCGTTTTTACTCTTATTTCAATTTCATTCTTAGAAAGTGCCGCCCGATGCGAAACATAATTTGGCCTGACTGCTGGATGGGCGGCGGGAGGAAGCTTTGAAGTGCGATAAAGCGAGAATGTGACATTTTAAAAGGGAAGCTTCAACTTTTCCACAGCTGCACAGTGGAACCAAATGCGAACATATATGCAAGTAAATTGCTTTGTTAGTTGCTGTTAATATTAAATTGGTATGCATAGAAAACTGAAAAAATATCAATAAGTATAATTATTAAAATATATATTTATTAATTTTAATTTTATTTTGTAATTTTAATTGATGAAATGTTTTTACTTTTTTAACTAAAATAAATAGTACTTGCGCCACCATGGTTGCTAGGGATAACTGTAATTAGATTTTTAATTCAATTGTTGTGATATTTACTTAACATTAAGCTATATATTTTTAAATGCATTAATCTTAAAATTACAAAAATATTTTCTCTGCATTTCCTTTGCGTAAAATCGTATAATAAAATGTTTCGTTCATCAATTAATCTCCTTCTCGTTTAATTACAATTTTTGCATAAAATGTAATTAAGAAAATGTATAGAAACTTATAATAATATTATTATGATGAATAAATAATAAATAAGTCGAAGAGAATTAGCAAAAATATATTCACTTATTAACATAAAATATATTATTTATAACATTTATATTATTATAATATATTTTTATTAATGTGATTAGCTTTTGTGATCATTAAATATTTATATTTATTATTTATGCATTAGTTCCATTTTTTTTATTTTAATATATTTTTAATTTCAATTATTTTTAAATATGTTTATTACTAAAAACAAATTCTGCTATATTTTATAAGAAAACTCCGTTTATTATCATCAATTTTTGTTAAACTAATATTGAACAGCTTCCACTGTATATTTGATGGCAATTTGTTCGTTTCATTTCATAGATAAGCAAATATGTGATGCGAGTAGTGAGCAGAGCTTGCTGCATGCATGAACAAGTGAAGAAATCAGTGCTCAAATGGCAGAGCATCAGGCACAAATGCTAAGTGTCTGACAGAGCTGATAGCAGCAACTGCTGCTGGTGCTGCTGGCGAGGGGGCATGGTCGAGGAAATAACATATCGAATATAAGTGTAGTATAGCGCATAATTTTCTACAATTTCTATTTTATGTTTGTGTGTGCCAAAAAAAAGTAAAAAGTAAAAGCAAACGTGAAAAGAGCAGCTTGTTTATTTGTATGCCTGCGGGTGACTGTGCGGCTATATGTGGGTGGCTGTCTGTGTGTGTGTGTGGGTGTATGCTTGTGTATTTGTATAGCTCTGTGTGAGTTTCGCATTGCACAGAAACAGCATGTTTTTAGTAATAGATGCCGCTGTGGGCATTACTAATACGCCCCGTGGCACATATGCGCAGGCAACAATTGTGGCGGCAATATGACGCTGCGGTGGGCGGCTTAAGGGCGTTGTCATAATCATGCACTTGATGCCCCCAGCAACACCAACGACCAACTACCAACAACTAACAGTCAACAGCCAGCAGTCAACGGCCAACAGCCAACAGCCCCAGCAGCAGCAAGAGCATTAAGGAGGACCGCTTAGATTGCCTCATTTGCTTGTGTATTTTTTTTGTATAAGCCCACACACTCACACACATACATATGCATGTCCGTGTGTATGTATATGTGTATCCTTGGGCGCTTGTTTGCCTCGCTGATTTGTTTGCGCGACCACAGTCATTAGCTGCTGCCGCAGAGTCCATAAAGGAGCAAGCTGCCTAGACACAGCTGTCAGTAATGAAAATTTTTAGTGATAGCCCAACACAAATATGAAATTATACGCTTTACTTACTTCCATGCTGGCGCTGGCACTGGCCCTCTGCCAAGTAAGCCCACAGCCAAGTTGAGCTGAGTTCACCTGTATATCAATGCCCTTCCATTGCCACAGCTGCAGGTGATCGGCGCACAGGAGAGCTGCTTGGACCGTTGTCTGTTGAGCTGGCCAAATAAGGTGAGTAATGCGCTCGAGGAGCTGGCACTGGAGCCGGAATTGTTGACGAACCTCGATCAGCAGCACGCAACTACCCAACAACAACAACAGCTAGCTGAGTGCTGCCAAAATGTGCAACAATTCCATTGCACTTTGAAGTGCATGTTCGAGCATGTTCGACTGCCCTATCGATGTAGCAACAAGCGAACATAGGGCTGCATGTGCTCTATTTTACAAATTTGGACTATAAAAAGTCGAGTGTGGTTTCAATTGCCATTGACTGGGCTACTGTTAGAGCTAATCTAAGTTGCATCAACTCTTAGCAGCTGGCAGAGCATCTTCTAGTCGACTTCCATTTCACTAAATTGACGCTACATTTAACACTCACTTAAATTGAGAAATATGACATTATATCTCAATGCATTCAGGCTCAATGCAATCAACAGACAGCAAAATAATCATTTGTGTGCGAATTTAAATAAATATTCAGCAATTAAATGAGTGTAAAAGCTGGCAAATTGAAATATGTAAATACCTGCGCATTTGCACAACTAATTAAATATGCGATTACGATTAAATTAAATTGCATGTTTAACTGTAGGCGAGGGGTGAAAAGGGAGCGAGCCAAATAACAGAAATAAAACGCAAATAAAAGGCATGAAAGCGAAAGTGAAAAGCTCGGGCCAACTGCGGGCGAGTTCCAAATAATGTTCAGTCGACCCGCATTCGCATGCGTGTGTGTGACTGTGTGTGTGTGTGTGCGTGCATATATATTTCAATTTAATTAAAACATTTTCAATTTTATGTGTTTTCCGTTGGCATTTTCTTTTTTTTTTTGAATTCATTCAATTGTAGCTAAATGCCAGAGCATCAACAGCGGCTGCTGCGCAAATATTTGGCTTAGCTGAGGAGCTGAATTCATGTTGGGATTTGAATATACTACGTATCCACAGGATGCGCACTCGATTTCGATTTGTTTGGCTCACTCTTCATTTCTGTTCTTTTTTTTTTTTTCGTTTTTGGCAAGCTCAAAAGTGCAACGAATCCACATGCGCCCGCTGAATGCCAAAGTTGAGGTCCAGCCTGGCAAGAGCCCAACAAAACAATAGTCGATGGAGCTGTTTACATTGATACGCTGACAATTCAATACCCTTATAGATTCATCAATGTAGTGGTGAATATTATATAAATATAATAATGGGTTTAAAGTGATGGCGGATTTAGAAAACCTTTTTTTTTTTAAGTATTTTTAGGGAATACTTTTTATGCATATGTATATAAAGATGCCATCCATTGGATCTGCCGTAAAGACTCGTCTAATAATATTTAAATAAATATGGTGAGTTCTTTTCCTTATTTGTTAAGCATCTATGTATGTATTAAATATTACAATAAGTAATTAAGTATATAATATCTCTGATTATTTGTTTATTCATCGAAATGTAAAACTAGATTAGGTTGCTTACCAATGTAGCAGAGCCCTTGTTTAATTAACTAATAAAATAAATGAAAAAACAAACACATATATATAATTTATATTAAGCTGACAATAGCAAATGCCATAATATATTCTTAGAACATGCCTAGTAAAATTAATTTAGGATTCCTTTGACTGATTAAGAATGCTGTCTTCCTCAGCTTAATGAGACGTTGATAAGATAAATATGACAAGCAAATCGCTCTGCATATAGGAATTAAGAACAACTCAACTTCTATCTCGATTCCGTTACACACTTTCTGAATGCCCTAACCGGACAAGCCCAAGCAATTAATCATCGCCACATGCGTTGCATGTGACCTTTTGTTAGGGTATGCTGCAGCTGTTGTTGTTATAGTAGTAGTTGCTGTTGCTGTTTTTGTTGTTGTTGCTGGTGTTGGTGCTGTGTCTGCGATGACAAGTGAGTTAATTAATCTAACTGCCCAATGCCTGTCAAACTACAGACGCCGAAGGTCGTGCACCATAATTAAACATGACTGTTGTTGTCCTTGCCATTGCCGTCGCGCATTCTGCCGCTCCTCCTCCTCCTCCTGCTACTGCTAATGATGGCTATGTGGCTGTAACGCTTCCCACCTGGCTGCTCATACGGACGAGACGCATAAATTTCAATTTGTTATGCTCAGCTGGCGTCTCGACTCACCTTCATTTACATACCATATATGCATGTTCATTATACCTGGATGGACATGCAAAAATGTTCGCGCCACGTTCGAATGCACAATTAGCGAGCTGCCACATAAATTATTAGGCCCTTTGATTGTCGCAAGGAAATGAAAACGGAAATTATTACTCTCCCACACATACACGCACACATACGCAAGCACACGCATTCACTCACGTGCCCACATGCCAAATAAGCGAAATGTGCGAAATATGCGAAATACGTTAATGGCGGGGTCAGCGCATTTCGAAAAAAATGCAAAGCGCGTTGTGCGCTTTTAGCAGGCACTGTTTGTCAAGGGCGTGCAGTGTAATCATTAGAGATGCTCCAATGATTTTTGATGGACGTGTAATGGAAACTGTGCGAAAAGTGCAGCATTGGCAATTTTAGTTGTATTTACGATTATTCTAGTTATATTTAGTTATTTAATTATTAGTTGTACTAACAACAATAGCATATTTATATTTGATTATTGGCAAGATGAATATGAAGTATTTATATTGTAGTATTTTTCAAATTAAAAAATTCAAGATGTCTATCAACTTTATCTTGTAAACGATTCATGCCTCCTTCCTTCCTTATTCTTCTGTAAATCAAAAACACATAGAATGTTTTTTTCATTTCAAGCTTGTTCTATAAGAAAATTATTTTTATCTACAATCAAATTTCGTTCTTTCTTTTTCACTTTTTCTTGCCTTTTTCTGCAACATTTAACAGCCTTTGTATTGCATTTTATGCAGCACGAAATCTGCACAACACAAAAGTGATGATGGAATTAAATTGAAAACTTAGTTCCGCTGCGGCGTGATTCGCACGAGGGTCACGTAGGCATCTCGATTGTCAATCAGTTGGAAATCGCAGCAAGTTTTGTGCAATTTCCGTGCTGCGTGCATTGCATTGCCAGAGAGACAATTAATGCATTCGCATTGCACACTGCGGCGTATGCGTAATATTTTAGTATTTTCGGCTTAAATGTTTAATATATGTGTGCAGAGAGGAGGCCTGCATATGTCAGTGAATAAATTTCAATGATAACAAAGCTCAATTTATGTAAAAGCGCTAAATGCAATTTACGCCCATGAATTTTAAGTTCAGCAATAAACCTATTAGCATGGCTAAAAGCGAGAGATGAAAGGGCTATAGCGAGAGACAGAGATAGCGGCAGGTTGCGTGTGAAAGGGCGATAGCTATTGGCAGCGTGTAAATGTCACACTCAGTTCGATCGACAGTTTTGGCTCATAAATTCGGTCCATTGTCTGCGCACCTCTGTTGAACTTTCCCAAAGTGCCAACAATTTTAATAATGCGTTAAGAGTTGCGGTGCTAGCAAGGACCCCATTATGGCAAAGTGACATTTTTCGACTGCCTGTTTGAGAATTTTTTGCATTATTATTATTTTTTTCCCATTTTCCTACAGAAGCAGCAGCAGCAGCCGCATTCATAGGCCAGAGTTTTGCCTGCAAGCTGCCAACTTTATTTTTATTGCATTTATAAACTTTGCCCTTACACAGAATGCAGCGAAAAGTTCAAAGCCCAAATTTATATATACTGCGTATAAGTTCAACAATTTACTCATTGCTTTGCCAACAAATTTTCAACTAGAAAGCAAAAAAGAACAGCACATAAATAAAAATAAATAACATAGCCCAGCTCTGAGCAGTGGCTGGCTAGACACACCTCACCTGGACACAGGTGTGTAGGCCTATGTGCCACTCAAATGTACACAGCTTTGTTTGTCTGGCCAGCCATAATCACGCCCAGTCTGTCGCTAACAGCCGGCCAACAGCCCATTAGCAGACCCTTAACAGTGCTCGCTCTTCAAAGCTCACTGTTAGCAGTGCTTTTGCGTCTGCTCTTCGGCGTCTGTTTTGCTTTTTGGCATTTTGCCTTTGGCCTGTGCTTTTGCAATGACAGCAAACGCGGTGCAAAGACACGGCGCTGCTTCTTTAAATACAGCACGCACAGATGTCTGGCAATTTATTCCAAGTTCGGCCGGCTTTTGTTGCAATTGGTGGGTGCGGCTGCCACGGCAACTGCGACAACAAAGAATCGCGTAAACATTTAGGTGAAAACTTTCAGTTTAAAATGAAGTTTTAAATAGTTTGAAGAAAATTACAAAAAAATTATTAAAATAAAATAGAATTTTTACACAATTTTAACTGAAGTTCTTATAATTGAAAACAATAAATTGAATGCATAAAAAATTTTATTGCGAATTCCTTGTTGAAGCTTACTCGTAAAATTTGCGAATTCTATTTGTCTGAAAAAAAAACCCAAGTGAACAGAAAGGAGCATAAAAGTAGGCAACAAAATTCTACAAGTACTAAGCATTTCAATTAAGATTTAAATTTGCTTCGCTTGTCATAAATCTGTGGTCTGGCTGGTAGTCTGGGCCCTGCCATAAAAGCAACGAGACAAAGGAAAACATCAAGTTGAATAAAGAAAAACACGGAATAAATAGCAGAGAAAAAATGTCAGAAATTAATGCAGCAAAACAGGCAATTTCTGCAGTTAAAACAACAGCTGAAATCGCTGAGGCGATGTCGGCTAATGCGGCCCCAACTCTGGGCCAGACCACATCAAGAACGACAACAACAACGGGAACACCACGACAAAGAACTTTGATGCGTGCTGCGGAAATGGATGCCGATACCGATGCTGAACCAGACGACATGGATGATGGAGTTGTTGTTGCTGCTACTGCGGCGGCTGCTGATGCTGCTGTTGCCGATGACGATGATGCGGATGATGCGGCAGACAGCATTACGTTGGAGCTGGCATTGTCGCCAAACACGCCCACACCGCCACCCATCACTGCCGACGAGGATCTGGCCGAGCTGGACAACAGCAAGCCTTTCAAGGTGGGTACTCCATTGCCTGGCCAGAGGGCACTCACACAGCATTGCCCATTCATAAGTCAGCTCCAATTGTTAACTGGCCAGCAATTCGTTAAGTGATTACGGGCTCCATTGTTGCTGGCCTCCTCTCCTTTTTTTTTTTATCGAACAAAACTTTTGACGTTCATGCACAAAGTGAAGTGGTCCAGCCAGAGAGGCGCACGAACGAAGCGCGGCAGGGACCAAGGTGCAAGGAGCAAGCGACTGGCCACTCAAAAGGCTTTGGCTCTGGCTCTGGCTATGGCTTTCGGTTTCGTTTTCGCTTTGGCTATGGCTTCGAGAGCAGACGCTTGTTCTAGTTGTGGCTCTGTGCCGGCTCTGCGTGCCTTGCGCACCCTTCAGGCATATTTGACTTTCAAGGGCTGCAGCAGCCGGTCTATACCATGGCCCGAAAATTCCGTGTTGCCTCAAGGCACACGCGGTTTGATCCCATCAAGTGGCCAAAAAGGGGACAAATTTAATTATGCATAGCAAGCGAAAAAAAAACCAAGTCACAAATAGAAATAGCGTGAATTTATTGAAATATTTAGGAAAAACGTCATTTAATTTAAAGAATAAAATTCATAATGCTTTAATCAAAAACTAATTAGCAACATAAAACTTTTGCCAAAACAAAATAAAAATATAAAAGTGTTTTTTGTTTTTATTTTTTTTAACGCTAAGTTGAGTTTATTCGTCAAGAAAGCAAACTTTTTAAATTATGCACTTGACGTGTTTTGCTGCTTATTTCAAGCAATCAATAAATTTTATTTATTAAATACATCTTATTGAGCAGGTGCTAAAACTTGACAGAAAATGTTTTTCATTTTGCTATTGGGCAAATTGATGAGTAAACATTGAAATTACTGAAAATGAACCAGATTGTTTATAAAGTATATGAACTAATATTGCATTTAATATAATGAATAAATATAAAGAATATAATGAAATGAATTATTAAGCAACAAAATAAATGTGATAAAAATAATACCTGCAAAAAACATTATATAATAATAATACATAAGTAAACAATGAAATTAACAAAACAAGAAATAAAAAGATTATTGAATTAACTTTATTTTATTTAATCAACTACTTTTCACTTATTAAGTACTTAAATTTAATTTACTATATTTAATAAACTACTACTAATTTATTTTATTACCTTTCAATTATTAAGTACTTCAATTTAATTTTTAATAATTATAATAATAATAAAATAAATAATTTAAATTATTAAAAAATGTATTCATATACTTGAATATTAAAATGAATAATAAAATAAAAAGATATATGGATGTATATAATTTACATACAATATAACTATATGAAATGTTACATATATAGATGATGCTCAAAAGGTATAAATCAAAACAAAATTGTACAGTTTGCTTGATTGATTGACTGATGACACATAACGCATAGATAAAAGTTCAAGAGCTTGAATAAATATGTATATATACTCACATATTTATATAAGAATCAACCAAAACCTGTTTACTTTATGCAAATCACAGCTGCGTGAAATGTTGAGCCAATGTTTTTTGTTGACAAGAATTGAAAATTGTTGCTAGATTTTTTTTTCAGTCCTCTGGCTGGATTTTAAACACATTCACATAGAGGGAGGGACTTTCCATAGGTCTGGTTTTCCTTAACAAGGTGAAATTTGGTATTCATAAATAATTGAGTGGGCGACCACAGAAATGGTGCCTGGCCAAAAGACCGTTGCAAATTATGCAGTAAATTGCTCAACACGCCGTTAATCGACATTTTAGCATAGAGATGAATGTTAATGTTATCTTTGATCTCGGCACATGAACATATATTATTATAAGGCCCTATAAAATATGTTAAAAATTCAATTAGCTCAAGCTGAAAGTTGCTCCGCATTAAATTTGTTTCGTTTTCGCTCAAATAGAAGTTGAGTTTGTTTTATCAGTTTTTTAATTTGTGCAAACTTTTTAAAGTGTGCCGTAATGTCAAGCAGCGAAAAGCCAATGTTGTGGTGGGCTAACAATTGAAATTAATTAAAACTGTTCGACGAGCAACGGGCGAAGATGCTGCAGCATTTCAGCCAGAAATCACAATGTGGCTAGATAACGTTCGCAATGCTCGTATATCATTAGACGCTGGGCAGGGTGGGCAGAGGTCGGTGGTCGGCGGGGCGCCGTGGCTGGTGCGCGTTGGTGCCGATAACGATGCTGCTTCTGCTGCTGCCACTTGGCCATGCGTCACCAGACACGGAACGAGCCACTCCAGCACTTGAGCCGTCTGCCCTGCTGTCTGCCGTGGCCCCTAATCGATTTATTGTATTATGCTGTGAGCGTTAAAAAGCGCCATAACAAAATTAACTGACTCAAGGATCAGTGAAGGGAAAAACTTTATAACTGGGCCGGCCCGCTGAGACGTGGCTTGTGGTTTCGCGCCAGGGCCCATTGAGTTGGCCAGACGTGGCATTAATTGACAGTTTTGCAAGTCTCAAATGTTTTATTTGTGCGTTTCTGTAGTCTACGTCTTTTTTTTTTTTTTTGGCGATTTGTCAGACGCAGGAAACGTGCGAAAAGTTTTGGCCCCCATTTCCTGTTGCTCGAGCGGGTCTCAAAGTTTGCTGGTCTCCCTGTCGTATGCGCAATATATGTGGCATACATCTAATTAATAAGCGTGCACGGCATGTTACATGAATTTGACAAGCAGCCATTGTTGGCCCTGCCCTGCCCTGATGTCTATCTGACAGCTTGTCTATCCCTACGGTTGACGTGAACCACTTTTCAACAATTGTAATTAATTAAATAAGCCCCTTATGATGTTCACCTTATGGGTTTGCCGTTGTTTCTGTGTGTATGTGTGTTTTTATGGGTTGAGCATTACAGGTGTGTGTGTATGTGTATTAAAAAAACATATGCCTTAACTTTACAGTTAAAAGAAAGATGGGTTGGGGCGCGTTTCTCCAAGGTATGCTAGAGAGGGGATATATTAGTAGAGAGAGAGAGAGACATAGAGAGAGTGAGACGAGAAGAGGGGGAGAGGCAGAGGGAAAGGTCGTGGCGATTGTATGAATATATAATAAGAAATAGAATGAAAGGATAATTGTGAAGGATATCTAAGAGCCATAACTCAGAGCTCATATAGAGAGAGGGGCAGAGAGGGACAAAGAGAGAGAGACAACAGATAGAGAGATAGAGCATGAGATATACAGAGCGATAGAGAATAAGAGGGAGAGAGAGAGGCAGAGAGATAAAAAAAGAGAGAGAGGCAGAAAAAGAGAGATTGAGTAATTGAATTAAATACTAACACAATACTAATTAATATTAAAATACCTAATGCTCTGGCTGCTAGGGTTATGGGCATATACTAGTCGATATATATATAAATAGCTAAAATATAGTTAAAATAAAATAAATTATAGCATACAAAATCTGATTCATTTCTGTGCAGTCCTTATATACATAAGACTATGAATATATATTATCTATATTAAAACTAAGTCACAATTGGTCATATATATAATGCTAACCCATATAAATATGATAATCTTTGCATAGACAATTCGTCATCATTTACCCTTCATCCGTCAAGTATTTGCTGCCTTTGTTTGTGCTGAATATATAAAACTATATTTTTTATAATTATGCTTATTAAAATCAGTTAGCCTCAATGGGCCTGAGTACACGTTAAGGTAAGGCCAGGCAAGGCAAGGCAATTTGAAAATGCTTTGCTGCCAGCACAATCACAGTCTCTTAATAGCTCGTCATGTGGTCATGAAAAAGAAAGAAGCAAAGCAAAAACGAGAGTGGAGCACACGGCAGGACATGCTGCTGGCACAGACACCATGTGGGAGTAATCCGACGGCGACATGGAAAACGCATTTACAGTTTCTTTTTTTGTTTTGTTTAATGCTGTCTGAGAACAGTTCAGTTCCAGCTACTATGCAAAAGCAATGCCTCAAAAGAGAAGAGAGCCAAAACCAAAAAATTGCCATACAAATGCCATGGCATTCGAATGGAGTGGGAGGCTGGGGACTGGGGGCTGAGTCGGAATGAATTAACTTACTTGATACAAGCGCAACAGCAACAGCGAGAAGAAGAGCATTGCACACACAAACGGAAGCAGCATAAATTACAACAACAACTAGAGACTGTTTCAGGTGGAAATGGGCGAATACGCTGCGTATACGCAACGTTGGGCATTCAATGGAGCAACATGAGGCCGCAAGTACCCAAAAGAGACCAAGTGGGCGTGGCTGCATGTCGCCTCCCCAGCCTGTTGACTAATTTCTAATAGTATGCGTGTCAATGCGGTGACAAAACATGTAAATTGAGATCTTGTCCGACTGCTGTAGAATGCCTAATAGCCTCGCAATTGCAGTGAGTGAGCTATTTCAATAATTTGTTGGCAGCCACATGGTTACCATGGCATTTTGACGGCAATCGAGCGAAATTAGTGGCATTGACAGGAAACACGAGTCTGCACAATGCCAGCTCAAAGCAAAGCAAATCAGAGAAACTTGAAATCAAACACAAGCGATTCATACTTCAATAGAGCAATGCACAAGGTGGGAATAAGTGTGACGTAAAGGTAAAGGTGTGTGAAGTTAAGTGCTGGGATATGAGAAGTATTCAAGTGTAGAGTATCTCTGAGATAAATTGATGGAAGCTTTGAGTTTTAGAGGGAAGAGAACGAATTTCCTAGTGTGGAATGTTGTGGTCAGGTGTAGTTGGATATGTCGAGTTGGCAGTTGATAAACATATCTCTTGCTATAGTAGATAGTATATAAATGCAAATGTTTTGGTTTGCTGGAACAGTCGGAAATTGTGAATGATTCAATTTTAATTAAGTTATTATAAATATTCAATCTTTAGCATATTTTGTCATGGAGACAAACCTCATTAGTCACGAGTTAATTAATTTTAAATACATTTTTTAATTTAATTTATTTTTTAAATTCATATTTATATTTTCATAGTCGATGCTTAGCATTCGAACACGGCTTTGCAAGTGAACCCCTTTAAATCGATTATTTATTAATATTTTCATATTCATTTTTATCAGCTTTTATAATAAAGTCATCAAAGCGTCGGTAACGAACTGAATATTAATATAAGGCCATACAATAATTAATTTTGAATAGATTCATCCAGTTCATGAATAAAGCCAATTAAATTTGATTAGTATTCATAATTTTAGCGTCGTCTCTTATGAGTTTTTCATGGATGCATTCATTAAATTTCAGTTAACTTATTTAAAATTTAGATCATGTAGAATAATAAATAAAATAAGCGTTAATAATAATTTTGGTTTTAATTTTTTTTTTTTATTTATTTAAAATTAAAATCTGTTTAAAGGATTCCTTTATAAAAAAAAATTTTAACTCTAGTATTAACTCTGTAAAGTTTTCTTAGCATATTTTATTGACATTGCCCATGGTGCGTGTGTGCTGGCATAGCTCTGTCGCTTGTGTTAATTTTGGGTTTAACAGCAGCTCAGTTGTATTCACAGTTGCCCAGATACTGACATACAGATGCAACTACGCATTCCTGATGAAGTCTGGCAAAGGCCTGCACACGTATGCCTCGCCATACTCCCGCCTTCGCATGGGGACAGGGCGCACGCGTGTCATTATAAATGCATGAGTGCATTGGCATCTGTCCATTGTCCTCGGCGTTTGCTCTACTGTTTGCTGCTTGCTGCTTGCTGTTGCCAGATCCGGGTCCAGGTACTTGCCTGGCATTTTCCGTAAATTTGCCGAACCAATATTGATGTGTGAACAAGGTGCAGGAGACAATGCGCTGCAGATGAGGGCACTTTTAGCTTGCTTTGCTACATGGCTTAAATATTTGTCAAAGCAGCTTACAAGTCAACTAGAATGATTGCCAACTGTATCATAGCTGGCAGCGAACAAGAGTCCTTAGAGCTGATGAGTGCTAGTTTATGTTAAAGGAGAGAACGAATGAAATATAAGTCTGAAAGTGTGAGTAAATCTCTTTTAATTAATATATTTTTATTTAATTTTAAGCAGATTTTGTCAGTTGTAAATTTATAAATATGAAATATTTTTAAATAAATTAATTTCAATTTGTATATTTAGTATCACAATTTCATTACCAAATTATTTATCAAGCTATCAAGTATTTTACTTTAATATTTAACTAGTGTCAATGCACGTAGCTTTTGGCATAGCTTCAGACCGAAAATAAAAACCAAGTCTAGCACTTGAGTGAATAATCCAAAACATTTAAATTGATTAAGAGCACTTGACAACAAGGATTTTCCTAGCTGAAGCCAGGATACTCATTAAGAAAATTAAAGCTCAGTGTCAAATCCAGATATTTAAGTGCAGCAAAAGGTTAAAGTCAAGGCCGGGGTCAAACTGAAAATGTTAAACAGAAGCAGGAGACGAAAAAAGTGAATGGCAAGAAAATGTAAAGAAAACAAGTGCAAATAATGTGGTGTAGTTTGTTTTGGGCAACGACAGGGCAGAGCAGAGCTCTGAATACGCAGCAAAACAAAGTCAAGAAACGCATTTCACGCAAACAAAGCCACAGGCCATTGGCATATGCCAGCCAAAACAGTTAGAGCAGCCAGTCAGCCAGCCAGCCAGCCATCCCAGCATCCAGGCCAGCCAGCTAGCCATCCAGTCTGCCAGCCAGTTGGCCGAGCAGCTAAAGTGGCAATCAGCAAGTCAGCAAGTCAGCGAAGTATGCTTTAAGAGTTTACGCGATTCAGTTAAAGCAAAAGCGAAAATCTTGTGATTTGCCAGAAGAGACGAGAATATTTCTCAGTAAAAGGCAAAAGGTTATAAAGTGCACAAATGTAATGCAAATCCATGTCTTGAAAGAGTTTGGAATGGATTTTCATTAAATCAATTTGTATTCAATTTCTGTGCGCTTTTCGCTTTCGCTTTTCATACAATTCATGGTGATTCCAGTGAAAAATTCTAGAGGCTAATAGGATGCTCTACGAGACCCAAAAGTGTGGCAATATTTGAGATGCTGTGATATCAAATAAAAGGACAACCTGAAAGGAACCTAAACAAATATTTTCAATAAATTAATAAGAAGATATTTCTGTGCCTTAAGAGATTTTTCTGTTTTTCAAATTTTATAAAAGGTTTTGGCAGGGTAGCAGGCACACTTTAATATAATGAAAACATATTTTAAAGAGTTCTAGAAATTACTGTTACTGCTCAGTAAGACTTAGATGTAGTCCTTAAGAGAATTATCTCTCTTGATTGCCTCGAAAATTGCGTTTATTCTTGTTAATCTTCCTTGGGGAAAACTCCTGGATGGAACCTCGTGGGGCAACATGTTGAGCAGCACAATAAAAGTCAACTCAGTTCAGTTCAGCTCTGTTCAGGCTGTGCCAAATGTAAATATGAGTTTAATGGCCAGCACGCAGCCAAGTGGCCAGGGCCAGACCCACTGGCCGGGCCAAAAGCGAATCACTCAGTGGGCTGGCCCATAGAAATTCGCATAAAATGCCTGATAAATTTTCATTGTTGCTGCCAGAGGCAACATTGTCGGCGAGTTGATAGATTTGCGAGGCGCTATAATTGCTTTAGTCGATGTGACTGACGATCGACGCGTCGGCCGATTGATATGCTAAGTAGCTGGCGTAGGTGTGACTTATTGGCTTAATGGAGTGACAGCTTCATTGTCAACGCCAGGCAGACAACGTTCTCATCATATGTCATCCGACAATGATGATGTTGACGATAATGACGATGATAATGTTGATGATGGTGCTAATGGGGTCGATGATGCTGATGGTCCCCAAGCATGAATTGATCAAGTGCTGTGTGCTGTGTTCATTTATCAGAGGAATACACAGACACACGCACACACATACACACACAGTTACATCCCAAATTGTGTACAACATGACGTATACTTAATATTAATAAGCGGGCGTTGCCTAAAGCTAGCTTTATTGTAGGCTGTTCACCTTTTTGTTGTGGGCGGCTCATTTGTATACAATTTCCCTGTCTGTCCGTCCATCTGTCTGCCTATCTGTTTACCTGACCCATTCATTCACTTAGCTTCAGGTTCGCTTTGACCGTCTCACAACAACAGCATTGTGCTTTAAATATTAAGCAGTCCATCTGCGAGTGGGCCAACATCTTTTTGGCCATGAAATATAACACGCTAGCTGAATACATGTCATGCTAAAATTGTCGTTGTTGTTGTTGTTGTTGCTCATCTTATTGTTGCGGTTTTTATTGTTATTGGCAAATAATAAATTGATTAGTTGCTCGCTTCTGGCTGTTGCTATACACACGCAATTATATACATACATATATATATATATATATATATAAATATATATAAAACTTATATACAGCTTCCTTATCGCTGTCGTGCGCCTCGCTGGCTTTTTGTTGTTTTTATTGGCAGCTTAACACAAGACGGAAATGTTCGAATGCTGCTGGCACATTTGAGAATTAAGGCAAAAAACATCGTTTTGTGAGTTTTCCTTTTTACGTTTTTCCGCCCCTTCCTTTGGCCGTTGTTAACTTCCTCACGCCTGTTTCCAATCAAACGGCGTGACATTTTCATAATAATTAAATGTGTGCCAGAAATTTTTGAATGAAAGTTGTTGACTTTTGTGTGGTCTCCCGTGAATACAATACAATACCCTCCCAGCGGGAGTTCTATTCATACTGAAACATTTAATAAAGACACGCGCGAACCTAACGCCAGTGTGAAAAAGGTTTGATGCTTAAATACATTTAGTTCGGGTTGCAGTCTTAGCAGCTTGACTGAAAACTTTCTTAAATAAGAGTTTAATTTGTGGCGAAATGTATTAAGAATTTTGGAAAGTTGATAAAAGTTTTGCTCACATTTTTAGTTACTTCTTAATCTGTTCGAACTATAAAGCATTTTTACAGAAATGTCTTTTGGCAATTTTAGATATACTTAAGACTGCATATAAAAGAAGAAAGAGAGAAAATAGAAGATAAATTTCTTTCAGCATTTAGATAAATTAATTAAATATTAAAATTAATATTAATTATTAATAAGAGCTTAAAAGAAAATACTTTTTTATAGTTATATTTATTTATTTTGTATATTTATTTATTTTTTTGTTGATTGTCAATATGTAAGTTGCGAAATTGATATAAGAGAGAATGTAATGAATTCGTATGTATATTATAAATTTGCAATATTTTTACTTCTACCTTTTCACTTTTAACAAAATTTCGTAAAATTCCGCACATTTATAACATGACTTTGGAGAACGTGACTTGAGAATATCACAGACAATTTAAAACTGCCTTTAAAACGCCGTCTCAATAACCAAGTCAAGTAATTTTCGTAGAAATAATTCTGTTTACCGAAAATTTTCGTTATTTTTGATCGATTTTTTGGCAGAAATTTGGGCTGATAAAAGTCGGTTACGAGTTATGCTAATATTTAACAAAAGAGCATAGAGCAAAAGAATTTTTCCTATGCAACCTATGTGATATATACACAGATAGTAGGTAGCTAGTTTGCATACATGAATAAGCAAAGCAGCTGAAATTGGATAAAGATTTGCAGATGGGCAAAACTGAATTGAAAGGAGAGAGCTGAGATATTTGTGGGAAATATTGGACTTGTTACAGCCGACTCCCATGGCAATGAATACTAATTAATGCTTCACACACACTCACACACGCAGGTCAAGGATATCACACGTAACATACGCAAGGCCGTCGTTGCCACAACATTGGCCGAGCTGCGCCTCAAGGTGGCCGCAAAGTTTCAAAGGGCTCAGCCGGCGATTCATTTGGATTGCGATGGCACCGAAATTGATGATGAGGAGTATTTTTCCACACTGGAGGCGAATGCGGAGTTGATTGCTGTATTTCCCGGCGAGCAGTGGCGAGATGTAAGCTATGGCCGTTGCTGTGCCTTTTAAACAAGCTTTACTACCCCCTCTCTTTCTTCTCCCGCCTCCATAGCCTAGCGACTACAATGCGAACTTGCGTCGCCCCTCACTGGATGCCCAGCGCCTACGCAAATTGGTGGGCAAGCTGCAGCAGAATCTGATCAACGATGCCGACCTGGACAAGTTGTCGAACATGGATCCCAACTCGCTGGCAGACATCACAGGACGCGAGCTGAAGGACAGCGACTACTGTGTGCAGAGCGAGGCAGCGCGACGATCCACGGAGTTGTCCTGCTAAGGGACTTGATCAATTTGTTTGCACTTAGCCGTGTTCTTAGCATCTTTGTGTCTACACCCAGAAACACCTACCTAGTAAAATTCCTACACCTACGTATATGGGGGATATAGCACAGTGAACCGTCGCTTATGATAGATTTGTAAGGAGATTTGTAAGAGTTTTGTATGTCAAGCCGAGAGAGATTTCGGGTATTTTTGGAGCATGTTTTGATAGCACTTATTATGAGGGGGGCGACGATATGGGCAGTTGATCCGTAGTTTATAGGCATGTATTATATGTACTCTCTAGTTGTATAGCACTTTCGAACACACACCCACATCTACAATATATGTACGAGATAATAATATTTTTGGAAACTTACCTTTGCCACAGGTGTGAGTACGTGCGAATAATTAAACTAGCCTGTTCCTAGACCAATATGCAACAGATATAGACCAAAGTGCAATCTAGTCTACCCAAACCAATTTACTTCAATTAAAGTGTAGTTGCTTCAAGCAATCGCAGCTGTGTGAGTATATAAGCGTGTATGTGTGTGTGTATGTGTGAGTACAATCTAAACAATAAACACGTGTGCCAGATCTCTATAGAAAATCTCAATAAATATTTATATATATTTGATGTCTGTGCAAACTTGGTGTATTTGTATTTCCAACGTAGTATATATACATATATAAAATTTGTCTGTAAATTTAGCACACAGCATTTCGGTTAATAGGGAGCAATTTGATATTTGAAATAAAAGAAAATTGCACGCAATTTAATTAAAATTCAAAATAAATCGTAGCGCAAGCAGGAATTATGAAAAATGAAAAATTAAAGTGTGAAAATTGTTGATAATTTTAAATATAAAAGCCAAAGATAAATATATGTTTTATAATACGTGTGTGTGTGTGTCTGTGTATGTTTTATTCACTGCACTTTGTTTAGCAATTAAGCATGAAAGGAATATGAAATGAAAAACCATTCACAGACAAATTGAAATGCAATTTACGATTACAATGCAAACTATTTGCTTCCTTGTGCACATTTTACATCACAAAATCGATCGATTTGAAATTTTGGTGAAATTGGCGAATAAGATAAATGTACGTATACTTTTTGCGTTGTCTGTGAGTTTCACAATAAATTGAGATTAAATGTGTTAGACGCTGTGTGTTTTATTGCCGCATCGAATGGGCCATGAAATAAATTACCTTGCAGATAATTAAAAAAGTTGGCGTAGCTGAGTTTTATAGTAAGTAAATTATTTATAGTAAGTAAATTATTTTTAGGGATGCAAATATATGTATTTAATTTTTTTCTTTAATTATTATTTTGTTACTATATGTGAATGATAAAAATAACTATATTTATATATTATTCTTTTTTTTATAATTCTGTTAATATTATTGTCCGTTTTAGTTTCCAGTTTGAACTTGTTTTACATTTTCTATCTTGGCAGTAAGATTAGCAATTTAAAATCAGTTTGAGCTCTCTATTATACTCGCATTGCTTGAAACTTTCAATTTTCCTTTGCGCCATTTTCCCTGGATTTGCCAAGTTCTTATAGCCAGCTGCAAGTTGTTTGCATATTTCCCTCGAAATATGCTAAACGGTTTCAGAAAACTCTTAGTTACACATAAAACTGGCATTTGCATTTGCATTTGCATTTGCATTGGCTATCGCAGTTGCCGCTGACTGTGCAATATGAATATGTTGATGAGGCTGGCCGTGGGTCAAGTTAATTGCATTTGAATGGCCGAGAGCAGTTAATAAAAGACAATTGTGGAAATGCGATTGATTCGCTGATGACAATACATGGGCAAATGGCAAAGGTCCTGCGACAGCCCGAGGACCACAAATTACTCGAGCCTTTGTCCAACATACTTGCTGACAAGCAAATCGAGTTGCCGCCGTCCAGATGTCCAGATGTCCAGCTATTCAGCTGTTGGTGCAATTCTAATTATGCAAAGTGCCTGATGCAGCATGAATGAGTCTCGGGCTCGGCCTCTGGCTGGCAGCTTATAGCAAATGGAATGCCATCCGAGGCTTAGCCAATTTAAATGGGGCTTATCATCTATTAGACAGGCTGGGGCTAATTTGATAGCAGCGTATGCAAAAACACGCGTAATATTTTGAACAACATGTTGAAAACTTTTTTTATTTTCGCAGCAGGTAAACGTTCCAAAGTCACTAAAGTATTCTACAAAGTGGCCCAAGGGCTGTTGGGCGTTGAGTGTGTATATATGCACATATACATATATGTATATGTGTGTGGCATGAACAAAAATAAAAGCGAAAAGTACAAACAGCCAAATAACTAGAACTGTTATGCGAAAACTGTGCACTGGAATGCCCAGGGCGGACGCGGTATTTGATAAATGGGCAACAATTGAAAAAGGCGTGCAGCAGCTGGCTGAAACGCATTCGACAAAATGATATACTGCATACAGAATCCTGCAGAGTTGCTTAAATTGAATTAAATCTATAATTTCAGCAGATTTTGTTTATTTTTTATTACCTAATTGAATTGACGTGATGATGCAGTGATGATGCTATCGCATGGCAATGAAAATAAATAGATTTAAAATTTTTGACATCAATATATTAAATATGCGAAAAGGTTTTTAAAATATGTGTTAAAGTTAATCTAATGTAAAGGTAATATTTAAAAACTAATATATATATTTTTAAATTGTATAAGGCTGTTAATACAAAATTAAATTTATGTTTTGGAAAATTTTGTTTATTTATTTATTTTTTTTTGAGAAGTCACTTTCTATTTAACAAAAGTAAAAAATTCATTTAATTATATTTCATCTTTTATATAACTTTGTCATTAAAAGTTGACTATTTCAGAAGTTCTATAAATAATATTAGAATGAAATTTAGAAAATGCATTTTTCTGTCTGTTGGTGTCGTATACGCAATATATTAAAAAAAAAACAACATTTTTTGTGCTTTCGTAAAATTTGCTTTATATTTTTATGTTATCCCTGCAAAAGTTGACGAAATTATTTAATTATGTTTTAGCCCTTATTTATGTAAATTACTCAGAAAATGTTGAAATGTCAATTCACTTATTTTATATTAAAAAAAAAATAGTAATACTTGAATGTCATTGAGTAAATGCACTCCTGTTTCTGTGCTGCATGCGTAATATATTTGTATATATAATTTAGTATTGAGTATATAATGAGGAGAGTATTCATGAAATTAATTCGAATTGAATTCAATTTACGCGAAATGAGCCAGCTGCAACTAATTGTGACTACTTGAACCTCTTTCAATCTTCAGCGTATGAATCTTGTCTCTATCAACATTCCACTCAACTCTTCTGTTTATATTGGTGCTACCACACTGTAGTGCACTGTTAAGATTGTGTAATTAGGATGCCACACCGCTCGACAATGCTTCTCTTGCTTCGTTACATACACCTGCGGTCATTGAAATCGTAGTAAATAATAGTAGAAGTAGTAGAGCACTAAATGCTAGCTAACATTATTCAAGGATACGTCCCTCATTTCTTAAAGCAATTTGAAACGAATAATAAGATAAATATATTAAGTATTAATTTATATTAACAATATTTAGTTGATCGTGAGCATTGGATGAAATGAATATATAGTTAATAAGTCACATAATTTTTGGGTTAATACTTAGGTGCCACGCCTACTTATCTGAGAGGTGCACCGCTACTATTTTTATGACCGCAGCTACATATATAGATAAATGATAAATATTTTTTCTAGCTAATAACGCAATAGTGTCATGCATTGAATATAGACTAATCCTGAACTAAATACTAGCTCTCTGTTTTAGTATCCTCTTAGAGTATTTAAAATATTTTTTCAATAAAGTCTCCACGACATTTTACAAATTTGCTTTTGATTTTGCAGTTATTCGATGAATTTTCAAATTTAAATTCAATTGCTCTAAATGTCACACTATCGACCTGATGGAAATATGCTTATCTTAATGCATGATCCGAGCCCCTATGGCCATACAATAAACACACACATATCTAACAAATTCTCACCCCCCACCCACACACACACACATATTCGAATATGGCTTGACAGACAAAGCGACAATAGATTTGGATTTATGTATACATATGGATGCAAGCACACATTTTCAATAGATGGAAATATTTGTGTGAATACGAAAAGGTAGAATGTCAGGGCGTGAGTGATATATGTACGTGTGTCCAACTGTACATGTGCACGCCAGTGGTCAGTGGCTCAAAAACTTATCAGGGTCGTTGTGTTGAGTTCTGTGGGTACCTTTTTATTTTGTTTTAGCTACATGAACATATCTACATGTATTTTTAGCTAACCAGCTCATTTCCCATGCAGCCTTTTTTGTGTTTCCTTTTCCTTTTCTTGTTTTCTTTTTTTTTTTAATATATTTTTTATTTTGTGTTTGTCGAGAAGTTCGAACGTGCGACGCCAGCCAACTGCCAACTGCCAACTGCCAGCTGCTGGCTGCTTTTTGATGGCTGGCAACTGGGGGCTGCCAGGCGCGGTTTGCATTAACAACTATGAGAGATTTATGCAAAAGTTATGCGCTCCTTGGTATCTGTTACCGTTAGTTTTATACGCTTTCAAACACTCGCCCTCGCCCGCCCATACGGCACAGCTCATTGAGCTGTCAGGAGATTTTGTTTGCCCACCTGAGCTCCCCACTTTAGCTGCCTCTGGCCTTGACGCGCAACGGTTGACGGTTGTTGGTTGTTGGCTGTTGGCTGTTGGCTGTGTGGCGGGAAGTGCTGCCCAAAACGCTATGCCGCTGTCATTGTTGCTGAATCAGATGTATTAAAAATTTATTGAATTTATTTTCATGAGCTGCTGTCTGAGCTGGCGTGCGAAATGCGCATCGAACTGCACTTAAGCTTACCCAGTCAGCCAATTTTTAGCTGCATTTCTCTCTCTCTCTCTCCATCTGCAACGAAATGCATGTGTGTGTGTGTGTGTATCTGTGTGAATGTGGCTAATGCGGTTGAGTGGCGATTTCTAAAAGTAAACGAGACAGACGTCGAGTCGACTGCAAAGTGCGATATAGCTATGCAGCGACACAGACAACATTCAATGCACTCGCAGCACTGACAACACAATCAAGCAGAAGTCAATTTGTATTAAATGAAGTCGTTAAGTGTTGTATAAAATAAATTAAAGAAAATACAATTAACTGATTGAAATTATAGTGAGGTCAAGTAAAGCAAAGAGTCTTATATTTATGTGAAGTATATTTAAGTGAAATGGAATTGTTTTTGTTATAATGAATAATAATAATTAATAACTATAAATCTGATAAATATTTTCTCAAAGATTTACTCTAAGTCTTTCCTCTAAGTCTTTACCTCTAAATATTACCTCTAAATATTACCTCAAATATTTCCTCTAAATATTTCCTCTAAATATTTCCTCTAAATATTTCCTCTAAATACTTCCTTTCCTCCAAGTCTTTAACGCTTTGCTGAACGATCAGACACTTCCCTCCACTTCACTTTACTGCGCAGCACGAAAAACCTCCATCAGGCCTGGGAGACTGAAGAAATGCTGCTGCTGCTGCCCCTTATATAGGGCCACTTTCGCTCAAGTACTGTCTCTCTCAAATGTTGAGTCTGACGCCAGGTAGAGCTCGATGCAGTCGTGCTCTAAATGACCAATGGGAGCACTCTCTGGGTACTGCTGCATTCACATTGAAAAGTTTAATGATCTGCTGTAGTTCTTCTTAGTCCCTTGCAGATTTTAGGCGGAGAGACAGAGTGAGAGAGACTGACGGAGGGATACATATACAGACACACATAAAAAGTGGCATACAGACAAACAAACACGCATAATTAAATCTAATCAACTCAATACGCTGCTCAAGAATATTCAATATATGGTTGTTAAGGCTTCTTAATGTTGATATGCTAAGTATATTATGTCCTTTATTATTTATAATTATTAGATCGCATACAGCGGAGTTTCTTTTATTCTATTAAAGTATTAAAGTTAATAAGTATTAGATTACACTCATTGAAAACGGATTAGATGGTTAATTTCTTATATCATTAAAGTTGTTTAATAATTCGAATAATTAAAAAAAATTATTCTTTAAAAATGTGTACAAAATCTATACATCAAATAAGACTCAGCAAAGAGGTAATCCACTTGTAGCTAAATTTGGCGTCAGCATTGAAATAATATTATTCCATTTACAAAAACTATTCAATATTCCCATAGCTTACCTGTTAAGCCTTGTAATTTATTGCATTTATATAAATTTAAAGCTTCTAAAAACTCAACAAGATAAACAAGAATTGCTTTTTAATGTTATCATTTGGTTTTATTCATTGTTATATATATGTATATGATTTACAATTCACGCTACGAACTAAAAGGAAACAGAACAAAAATATAAATATCGAGTGACGCATAATTTCAGAGAGAGCGGTAGAGATAGAGAGTGAGAGAGGGGAATAGAATTGATAGACTGAGATAGATGATAAAGTAGATATAACTAGTTGTATGAAGAGAAACGCTAAATGCTCAGTGAGTAGTGACAACGCGTTGCCTCATCTTAAATGCGCTTTAGACCATAGCGGAGCAGTAGAAAAATAATAACAATTTCGTGGGAGGGACACAATATGCAGAGGCGTCGTCAAGTGGGGTTGGGCAAAATGGGTCATAAGTGAAGACAGAGGGGGAACGGAAACGGAATCGGAATCGGAAACGGAAATGGGCAACAAAACAAAATAATTTTTAATAGACAAATTTCTTTTGCTCGCCATAGATGGACTCGTACAGTGAGGGCGGCAAGTGTTCGGCCAAGAATATTTGCAGCTTCTCCTTGGCAGTGACGGGCGTGTAGCGGGCCATGGGGAAGGTCCTAGTCACGGCATCGATGAGCACGCGCAGCGTGGGCTGAATGTCAGCGGCCTGAGGATAAAGCGCTCGTTAGCGTGAAACATCAACATATCTATATATATACTATGTATATACCATATATACTATGTATATATGTATAGGTAAATCTCTGGCTGAGATTGTGCGCTTACCTGGCGCGAGTATTTCTCCACGGATGTCATGGCCGCCTCGTAGTAGTCCTCGCCGTAGGTTTTCTTTTGCTCCGAGGATAACTGGTTCCACATTTGCTTGGCCTGCGAAGCAAACGAGAGTTTTAATGAGCCCCTCACTCATGTCGGCCATCTGCAACTATTTTAATGTGCACCATCTAAGCCGCCCTTGCACCACACCACCCCAACCCATCCTAGTCGTCCCAGCTGGCGCATTATCGTAAAAACTGAAACAAGCCAAGGCGAGCCGCTGCTCTACCCTCTGCTCCGTCCACCCCATTAAGCACGAAATGGGCAGCAGCTCGACTGGCTTGTGGCACTGCAAGGAAGCACTTGCAACTTACCTGTTCGCGCAGCTCCGTGTCGTTGAGCCAACCATTGCCCGGTGCAAACTCGCCCGCCGCCACCACAGACACATCCACGCCACGTGTGCGCATCTCCTGGCGCAGACAGGCAGCGAAGGAGTCGACGGCCGCCTGAGTGGCGCACTGGATGCCACGCACCGGCGAGGGCACTCGGTTCAGGCCAGAGGTAAGGAACACCACACGTCCATGGGCACGGCGCACCAGCGGCAAAAAGATTTGAGTCAGACGAGCGGCGCCTAAGATGAGAAATGTGGATAAGTTACAGTTATAGGAAGCATCAAAATTGGAAAGAGATCCTAATACAAATTCCAGCTCCAATAATAATATTAGAAAGGGAAATATTTCCCTTTCTTCAACGAAAAAGCACAACTTCATGGCCAGCGCACAGTGGCGCCATCTCTTACCGAGTAGATTGAGATCCAAGCTTTTGCGCAGCACGGTAAACGGTATCCACTCCAGCTCACCAAGCGCAATCCAAGTGGCACCGTGAACTACAGCCCACAGGCCCTCGGCGCCATGTGGCAAATGCTGCGAGACATAACGGGCCGCTTCCAAAAGCTGCAAAGCACACAAGTACAGGAAACGGTTTGAGTCTCGGCTAAAAGCTTTGACAAGCACTTTTTGTTTTGTTTTGTAGACTTACGCTCTTCTCGGAGGTAACGTCGACATTCAACAGCTTCATGCGTCCTGATGTCTCCTCTTTCAGGATTTTGGCCTCGTCGGAGTCTTCGATGGACGACGCAAAGCCCGCGTAGACAGTAAAGCCCAGATCGTCCAATTTCTTAGCCAGATACCAGGCCAAAGGCGCGTCACAGCCGGTGATTAGCACACCTTTGCCCGATGCCGAAACCTAAAACGGTTCAATGCACAGACGCAATTCGTGGGTTTATTCAACTTTTGACTATTTATATGAAATTTAATGGGCGTCAACTAATTAATGTTGACAGCGTATACTCGCATAGTATGTGCACATATGAATAACTCTAGACCTGACTGGTTTCAAACTGTCCAATTGTTGGCTTAGTCGGTTTCACAGTGTCTGCGTTTAAAGCGGTAAATTAGCAGGTGATTTTTGCTTGATTGAATTAACAACTTTAGTCTCACGTCAGTTATTTGACATTATAAAGGAATATATTATAATTGAATACTGACAGCAGTGAATTAATAGAAATACTTAAGTTTATGCAAGTATATTATGCATTTTGTAAGCAATATAATTTTCATTTGATTTAATTTATAATTTTTGAAAAGCGTATAAATATTTGTTATAATAAGTGTAAATAATGAAAATAGAAATAAGATAATTTTAAATTAATTGAACCTCTTACTTTTCATAAGTGTATATAGTGTTAATATTTCTTCAATATTTTTAACAAAAAAGTAAAACATCGCAATTACTTAATTTATTTTTATTCATAATAAACAACAATAGGTGCAATTTATTTGTTCAATATTTTTATAATATATAGTTTATTTATGTATTTTTTATTTTTTTAGATGTGTGTGATTTAATTAAGTCACAAGATAATAATTGTTTGATTATAGTATTTAAATATAAGATTATTTTATATTTTTTAAATAGCTATAAAACATAGCTAATAAACAAATTAAATAATTGTTGTTTTCATTAATATTTTTTTTTATTTATTAATTAATTAATTTTTCTTTTCGATATAGATATCTTGAATAAACTTAATTAAGTCTCTCTCTAAAAATAATTGCCAGCTCTAGGCTTTTCTCTTATATTTTTTGTCAGCTAAAAATTATTTTATTAAGTATTTATCATGAATCTTACACCAAGCATTTGTTTTTAAATACTTTAAACTCAATTAAACTTAATAAAAAAATAAATTTAAATTCAAGCCCTGGCTTTATAAAAAGCCAAGCTAAATTTCATAGCCACATCTTTATTTCGAAAATGATTGCAATTTGTTGACAACGTTATCTTTTGATGAAGTTAATTGTTCACTCATTTAGAGTTTTCCATCTTGAGATTGTATCAATTGTCTTAATTAGAGCATATTCTAGCAAAAGGTTTTATTTCTTTTTTTTTTCTATTATTCCTATTCTTGTGTATTGAAGCAAAAATAGTTTCGCTTTCTAAGGGCAATATTTTCTTAGTTGGCTCCATTTTAAGCTCTGACCGACTGACTGCGTGGCAAACACACGCGCACACACACATATATAGAGAGTATACACAAAGCACACACACACAGAGAGACAGTGGATGAAAAGAGGAGCAAAACGTGTGCATTGACACTTCCGTATTAGACACACGCGCCTTGTGGCTGACGTGGTGTATCGCTGTGTGTGTGTGTGTGAGAGAGTGTTTGTGGGTGCCTGTGTGGGTGTATCGGATGCTTGGCACAAAGGACAATCGCAGTTTGTCCAAGTCAAGTCAGAAGGAAAGACAGCTGAACAGTTAGACAAACAGGCAGAGGCAGAGGCAGAGGCAGGGGCGGGAGCTGGGACTGGGGCCAGGTCGGCAGGCAACTTGTCTTTAGTTGTGGTGCCATAATTCATCATGCCATTAGCCAATATATATATATTTATACATCTATAGTAATATAGTTTGTCAACGTATTGGTAACGGCTCAAGTGTGCGTCTCTAGTGCGTCAATTGTGAGCTCAATTCGGAGAGGGGCTGTGGGGCCCTCGGGGGCAGCCAGCTCATTGTTCGAGCTATTAAACGGTTATAAAGTGCTCGTAAAATTGTTAAAAAAATGGCAAGAAGAAGGAGATGCAGAGACGAGGAGACGAGGCGAAGCCAAAGAGCTGAGAGCCGTTGTCTGTGTATTATTATTGGCCGTCTTGTTGACACCCATTAAGACTGGCCAGCCAGCATTTTATTGGTGGCTATAAGTGTTTGGGCTTATCAAATCTGTTGGCATTTGGGCATTAATAAAAATAGAAATAACTAAGCTCGGACAGGAGTCACAAATGCCCCCATCCCCTCCCCACTCCTCTGTAAGTGTCAGCTGTTTTGTAAGTTTCAGTCGAAGGCAGCGACAAGTTTTCCAGCTGCTGATGTCTTTGTGGTTGTTGTTGCTTTTTATGCGACTCTACTTTATTTGTTGCCCATAAACTTTTGGTCAACTTTTGCTGCTGCTGATGCTGTGGCTGCGGTTGCTACGTGCTGTTGCAAGGATGCCAGACTGCCAGAATGCCAGAATGCCAGTATGTCGGAATCCAGTAGCATTCACTGGCATTATTTCTAGTTTTTTCTCGCTCAATTCCTTCTCATTTAAGAAAGTGCATTGGGTATACTGGTTTTTGAGTAATGTATTGACATGTGGAACATCTTCTTCTGTATAGGGGCGTGGTAAGTCGGATAAAGCATATTAAGGAATCTCAGAGACCTTGGGAGTTGCAAAGCCTGAGAGATGGCGGATATATTTACACCAATTAGAGGCATAGCAAATGGAGAAAAATATAAAGTTTTCTCTTCAGTTTTATAGCGAGAAACTCAAAATTGATCGACTACATTCCCATTCACATCCCCTAGTATACCATGCAGTCGGTAATGCCCTATTGCAAAGTTTATTCCTGCTTTTTTTCTCGCTCTTGTTGTTGCTCACTGCAAAACCAATTTATTGCGGTTTTGCTGAAATTACTTTAAAGTTTGCTCACAAGTAAATAGCGAACGGCAACAAAAAGCGCTGCTGACTTCATGGCGAATTGCTCAATTAAAGTCTAGCAAAAAGGGCTTGCAACAAAATATTTAGAGTCAATTAAGCGCTGAGAATCGAGGGCAACAACACACAACTCGGCCAAATTGCAGAGGAAACTTCGATTTCGCATTTGGCGCATCCAATTTCACTGGCTAAGAGGGTTCGAGGCTTTATTTTTGGAATCCTTTCAAGCGGCTTCATGTGGCATATGCAGTGCTCCCCAAATCGATCACGTTTCGCATTCAAGTGCAAGTTGATTTTATTTTATTCAGAGCCAAGCCAACGGAATCGAAGAAGCTGAACTTTTGGCTGGCATTCCCATTCAATATATATTTTCAATAAAGCGAATTCATGAAGTTGATTAAATAAATTTAAAATGCATTGGAATCTACAGCAATTTGTTCATAAATATAAAACAGTTATTTATTTTTAATATGAATGGGAATGGAAGCTAAGGAAACTGAGCTGAATGGATGTTGATTGTAATTGTTGTTCATTTTAAATTCTGTTTTCGCTCTAAAATTAATTTTTATTTAAAAAGAACAAACTTTAATTTCTTTTTTTTTGAATTTATTTTTATTTTTAATACCATGTATATTATAATCAAAATTTAATCATTGTCAAAATGGACAGATTATAAATATAAAAACAAGTAAAATAATATAATAATAATAATATTTAAATAAATAAATAAAATATTTTCTTTAGTTTAAAATATTTTTAAATATATTCCTCTTAAACTTATTCCGTAAGTTTTTGAATATAAGAAGTAATTAAAATTATTTCCGAAAAAACACAAACTTTTTCTTAAATTATATTTAAAATCTTCAAATTTTTTATAATAAGAATCTAAGAATTCATTGAAATTCAATTTATTTACTAAAAATAAATTTTAATGAATATTTTTACTTTTCCGGAAATACACATATGTATGTACATATATATGTAAAGAAAAAATAAATTTTCAAATTATTTTAATAATTAAAATAATTGTCAAAAAGAAAAAGAAAGAAAAATTCCTCAAAAAACAAAGACATGTTTTAAAGGATAATCTCGACTTTGCTTAAAGAGTAGCTTATCGATTCCCATATTGCATGCTTTTCAGCTAGCGCCAAAAAGTGTCGCCAGGTGCCATTTGCGCCACTTGCGCCACTTGCACCACCTTAATAGCTTTTTGCACAAAAATGAAAGTGCGAAACAAGACGAGAGAAATGAGAGAATAGAAAGCGGCGTATGCAAAATAACAAAAGCAAAGCAACACAGGCATGAAAAAAGTTTGTTTTGCCCAAGTGCAGTCGAGCTGCGTGCAAGGCAGAAAGAGGCCGCGACACGAGCGGCGCCATCGAGCGGGGATGACAGCCAGCGAGCCACCCAAAATCCAGCCGACGCAGCGCAGCGTGCGCCTTGAAGGTGGCAGCCATGTCTCGTGTCTGTAAACACGGCAGGCTGCGGTTGCACGTTGCTCGCGCTGGCTTTTTATAAACGTTCCCAAAATAGACGGCGCGTTGCACCGCATGCACCGAAATAGCTGCTAAAAGCCATCAGCCGACAGTCGACAGACGACAGCCAACAGCCGACAGCGAGCAGCTAGGAATCGCAGTCGGGGATGGCGCATGTCAATCAACTCGAGCATTTAACAGAGTTGTTGTTATTGCTGGTCGAGTTGCAGCCGGAGCGGAACTGCTGTTTAGCGGAAATGCGCCGGCCATGCGCCGTGATGGGGCATCAATTGCGTTTTAGTTAAATGCATCCTCGATTGCATTTTAATTGCGAGGTGCACGAGATTTACGAGCAGGGCCGAGCAGCAGGTGCTATCTGCGACCAGAGAAACCAGAAAGCGCACTTTTAGCCGAAATTGATAAATGGCCAAATTGCACGCGATTTGCCGCGAACAGTTATCCAATTGCTGCTGCAGGCCTTGGCTGGCCCGGAGGTTCATTAATTTTCAAACACGCTGAGAGAGAGAGAGAGAGAGTGAACCGAGAGACGTGGCGTATACGTAATATTCATGTGGCATGCATATATAATGCATTATGTTGCCCTAATGTGCAAACTGCAACAAGTTGGCGGCATTTAATGAAATCAAATTGCGCCTCAAAGCCTGGCCTGGCACACACATGTGTGTGTGTCCATTAGACGTGTGTGTGTGTGTGTGTGGATAATCTGACGCGTTTGGTTG